TTTGTCAGTTAGCATTTAAAATTTTTTGTTGTCAGCTTTCGTTTTTTTGTTCTATTTTCTACTTTGCAAATTTCAAGGGGTAAATAATTAAAAATCTGCTGAAAAAATATCTCATACATATATCTTTTTCCTGATACTTAAGTTTCGGTAAAAAGAGAAACAAAAAAATGTAATTATAATACTAATAGCATTTTTGATCGATGCGTGTTCCAAAGTTTGATATTCGATCCTGTTAAATTGTGTCGCATAAAAAAGTAACCTCGAATATTTTTAATAAAGTACCAAAGGGTGGGACAAAGAAGATATTAAGCCTAGTTATACAGAAAAAATCATAAGGAAGACCTTACTTACACAATCAGTGATGTTAGACTTTCTTAATAATTTGGATTACCTTTAATATATCAGTCAAAATTTCAATATATCCACTTGTTATAGCGACAATTAAAATAAACTTTTTCATTGCTTCTTGAAATACGATGAAAGATGATTTGAACCATGATTATTTATATAAAAATCAGTTTATTAACAAATTTATAAAAAAAAATCTAGCTTCCACAATCGAAAATATAGACCTGCAAATTCTAATTACTGATTTCGTGTTGTTCAAAAACAATTTCGATAACAAATCGTTTTCAATTGTTTATATAAAAAGTACTTGCTTATGAAAGCTTCTTAATGTATTTTGAAAATAAATTTTGTTACAATCATATCGATATGAGATACACAAAAGAAGCTATATGATGCTTCATGAAATCATAAACTAGTCAGAAAAAATCGAATCACCAATATATTAAAATAATTATAAGTAAATGGAAAGTTTTTAGTGTCTAATTTAAATCGATTCCGCTAAAAATACGCATTATTGGGAAAAAGCCATTGCAATGGTAATTATAAGTTTAATTTTGTATTAAGAAATAATGACGAGAAAAATGTTTTATATGTAGGTGACAGTGTAATTCTCAATTGCAGAATTGCAGATTCGCCCCAAAATGGCAAACCAATAAATAGATGGGAACTTGAAAACTAAAAAAATGCCACGTGATAAAATGAGTATGACTCACACTTGGCGGAATTATATTTTGAGCTTCCTGTCATGAGCGGAGGGAAGCCAATGTACATCTAGATAGTGGTAGAAAGTAGCCTGATAATTGCATTAAATTTTGCGTCTCAAAAATTATTTTTGCCTTCCTAAACATACAAAAAGTCGTTGAACACCATGAAAATCATTACAAGGACTTGCGTCGCACAAATCAACGAGAGATACCTAAAAATTCAAATATCATACAATGAAGAACTTTATGCAAATTGTTGGACTGTTACTATGCGGTTTTCTACTTTTATCTAGTTTTCCCGACCAAAAGATAAAACACATCCGGTATTCAGAATAGATAGTTCAGCAGTAATCAACCGAAAAAAAAACGATCGGTGGCTTCCATTCCTTTATCAGAATACAACATACGGAATTGCAATGTAAGATTTTACGATGACATGTTTCTCGATGATCATGACATTCATTCTTCCTTGCCAATTTTATCTCAAATGGAGCCGCAAGGTTTTGAATGAAAGTGCCTTGAATATGTACAGATAGAAGATGCTGATTTTCATTTTCAACAACACTCCATTGAATAGAATGGTATTTATTTATTAGAAAGATACAATGAAAGGTGGAAATATATTAAATTTTTTTGATGAAGCTAACATGGGAGTTATCACAGCAACAAGTGATTTTGGAACCCATTTGAAACTTCAAAACTCAAATGTCGCTGCTTCAGTTTCTATTTGTACAACTAGTCCAAATTGTAATGTTTTGTAGCAAACTTAAAGTACATATTTTTAAACATTACTCATTAATTGAAAAGTTATTAATAATTTATTTTATATATATTTCTATACCCATGTTTTTTTTCCTATTTATGCAATACCAAATTTATAGTTTTATGTGTTTGTATGGCTAAAGTGCAATTTTTTTAAACCATCTGTAAATATAAAAATGTATAAAAATACCATGTTCTATAACAATTATTAATATTTTAAATTGGAATATTGTATATTTTAATAACATAATAAAAAGATGTTGGTATAAAAATGCATTGTCTTACATGTGCTCTATTAACCAAATATGAAATAATTGATGTCTCGATAAAAACAAATAAATATATATATTTTAACTTTTTACGAAATGGCGTTTGACGTCATACTTTTGATCTGTCGTTACATCAAGTCACTTTATACCTAAATAGGGTTGGGGGAGGGGGGGAGTGAATCAACATTTTAATTACAGAGAAATTATTTTAACTTTCCATTGCGTCACAGTAGCCATTTAGTTTGGCCTTTATCAACACTTTAAAATCCTAATCTGACAGTTCCTGCATGAAAAGGAGCTCACATTGATAATAATACATAATGATTTTTGCTCTTGCCGCTGCGTTAAAAGTCTTTCGCCGTTTTGCCCGGTGCCTTACTGGGAGGCTACGCGATAGCAGGATTTCCATCTCTTGCTTTTCCCGCGGCGCTCTGATTGTCGCTAATTTTTTAATGCGTTGTGTGCATAAAAAAACTAATTTTTTTTTGTGGCCTAGCTGGATGTCTGAAGTGGGTTGTATGACTCATCAACGAAAAATGTCTACGTACATGTATTCTATACTCGTCAAATATTGAATGAATGGACAAAAATTTCTCTCTGATGATAAAAAAACAGAGCTTGTGATATTTGACCTGAATTTAAAGAGTTTGGTTAAGTTATCAAGCTTACATACAGAAAAGACATTTGGTGTTAATACATATAAATTGTCTAAATTACAACATCTATGCTTTTTATTTCATTTTTACTAAACTTGATTCTTTTCAATTTTTTAACAAAGCGTTAACATAATACAAAAAAATAATTTCATTTTGTTTCTCTTTGCCGTGTATCATGAAAAAAGGTCTTATTAGAAAATTTAGTATAACCAGTATAATTTATTTTATTCATCACCGTTTACAACTTTGATGTAAGTAAGGTCTCAAAAAGAAAAATATTTAATTTAAAAAACATTGTAGGCTTAATAATTAAGTTCTCGAGGAAATACAAAAAATTAATCAAATTTTGGAGGGTAAACAAGCGTCGAACGTTTACATTGTTATTCGAAACGTTTTACAACTACATTTTAAAAATAGGTTTAAATAAATTCCGATTAAATATCAACAATTCAGAATCTATTTAGGAGGTACTTGTTTCAAAACTCATTTTTTTTTCAAATTGCAAAAGAAATAGCATTTTTGTGGTCAACAAATCAACGATACACCTATAAATAAATTTAGAACTGAGTTGCATACAAATATTTTGAATGTTACAATGACTCAATAGACATATTTGACGCACTGTTGTTGTATTCGGGCAAAATAGTGAAACAAAAATTTTTTTTCTATTTTAAATCGGGTCGAAGTACATTTTTCAAATTATTTTGTCGTCATATAAACTTTTCCACTTTACTCAAATATTAAATGATTCATTCATTACGTTGCCAATTTTGTGAGTCAGTTACATACTGATGGATTTAATCAACTGGAAGTTCTGCAGGAAATAATTCAACTTTTCATAGTAGCGTGAAGAGAGAAATGACGCAGTTGCTTTCAGGAATAACTAGAAGTTAGATGGAATTTTTTGTATGTATATTCAATCAAAAAGATTTCTGTCATTTAGCAAATTGTGTTGATTCATCAGATTATTGCTTCCCAACCAGAGGGTCGCGAAGTATTTCCAAAGTTTTCGATTAGATGGCGAAATTGTGGCATTATCATTACGTAACAATTGTAATTATGAAACAACTTAACAATTAGAATTATGCGTTGTGTCTCGTTAATAATTTTAGCAAGTTCCTAAATATTGTAAATTGTGGGAAGGCCTACTAGACAGATTATTAGTAATATGTTGAATTCGTGTAGACGTTGGCGATGACGCATGCAGGTTCATGTAATTGGTAATGCATTTTAAATACTGTAGGCTGAACAACTTAATATACTTTATTTTAACACCCTAACTTTGATTGATTATTGTAAGCCCCAAAACGGATAATGTAACGAAGTAAAAGGAAAGCTAGAAAAGTTGTAGTGAGAAAATGTGACGATTATAGGAAGATATATAGTCTTGTCTGGCTTAATGCGGTTTTGCATTTGCATTGTGGAAATAATGAACAGGACTTTTGAATATTGTTTTTGTATACAAGGTTTTAATTACAAATAACAAGGGCTAAGTAAAATCAAATTTTGAATTATCGGAACATCATAATAGGAAATTGAAAAAGCACTAACTAGTCCCATACCTGATGAACTGGTAACCAGATGAGAGATTCTGGTAACCGTGGTTTGCCTTACGATTGAGCGGTCTCATACAGCTCTTTCCCGAGATGAATGAAAATCCCTATCGGTAATCGTCGCTAGAGCATTGGTTCTAAAACTGGGGTCCGCGGTCGCTTGGGAGTTCGCGAAGCGATTTCAGGGGACCGCGAGACAACTTTAACCTCGGCACAGAAGCACTTTGATTTGGAGTAATATTTATCACATGTTTTTACAGTGTTTCTCCAAAGCACGACACGCTCTACCGAAGACATTAGTACGTAACAAACGTTGGTGAACCTGGCAAGTACCGTAAATCTGAGCATATTGTTTATGGAAGTATCCAAATATAAATTTATCACAAATGCTGAAATATTAATTACCCATATATTCTAGTCTACATTTTGCCTCAAAATATTACTTTTTCACTTGGATTCTCAATAAATAAAGTTACAAGACATAATCGGATTTTTCTCAATTCACACTTCTCATCCGCCATTTGTAATTCGTGGTTAAACAAAACAAGACGCACAAGTGTTTGAGATAAAGGGACGTAAACAAATCACGTGATTTCCCTCATTAACCAATCACTGGCTGACATCAAGACTCGATTCTTTCATTATTTTGTTTCTTTATTATGATTGCCTTCTTCTAATTACAACACGCGGGCGATGTTGACGTCGGGGAAACTCAGTTGCATCGTGTACAGCGAAGGTGCGGCCTTTGGTCAGGATTCAGGTAGTGTAAAGTGTAGTAGAGTAGTCGCAAAAGTGAATGTCGCGGTTTAGCTGATAGTTTTGTATAAAGAGAGCCAAATGTGGGTAATGGTTATTGGAAAAAGCCACTTTTGTCAGCTCAGTGTTGTAGAATTGTTATTTTCTAACTTTTTTATGGACAAGTTTTTGTTTTATACATGTTTTATTCACTTATATTTGGGTTACTGGCTGTTCGGCGCCGTTTTTGTGACCTAGTGAAGTAGTGGTAAGTGTGCATAATGTTATGTATTTAATTTTTCGTTGCTGATTGATGTTCTTTCAAATCATAATTAGACACTATCGAGGTATATTTTACACGGCAGTAACGCTTGAATTTAACGAACAATCATTGTCATCCCGAACACGAATGGCTTATAAGTTAGGGACGAGTAATAGTATTGACGGTTCCTGTTATTCCTAAACCTTGATCGTGGCGATGCCCGATGCAATATTTTACTGAAAACGTTGGTTTTAGATGCAGAAGATAGAGCGAGGGAAATGAATTACCGCAATACAAAGCGTCTGTTGATTCGATAGGATTCGTAATGATGCTAGGTGAGTGTCTGGGCATATTAGAATTGAAATTCTTGCTAATAGGATTTAAATGATATCATTGGATTCATCTTTTTAGACATCAACGAAAATCCGAAGCATAAAGTGCCATTCACACTGCTGGTCCTGTGAGCGGCATAATGTGGGATCGAGGAAGGTTTTTGCGGCAGGTAAAAATGATGGTAATGTTTTTATTATATTCCGTGGTAATTGCAGTCATGAGCTACTGAAAGGAAATGATCTTGCTAATTGGATTTGTTTTGTTTTGGATAGATAATCTTTCGAATTTCAACTGTACATGCGCAACGTTGATTATTAAACTAAATCGTCTGCTTACTACAGGCTGTACATGCGCAACGTTGATTATTAAACTATATCGTCTGCTTACTACAGGAAAATAAACTTGATAACAACATTTGGTATTTGTTTCAGATGTAGCTAGTCCGTGTGAATCAAGAGAAGTACAATGTGCTTTAAAACTAAAGAGCACCGAAGTTGATTCGAATCATTTAATTGTCTTTTATTTCAGGCGGAGCTGTGAAAGATGCGCAACGTCATTCGCTCTATGGCGTTCAAGAGTTAACGTTCTCTGGGTAAGAATATTTAAATGCATTGGACCATTACCAATCTAGGAGTATTTTAAAATAAAAGTATTACTTATAATTTTAAACAAAACCACACTGCGAAAGATGCGTGACGTCATTTACGCTGTTAGTTTGATTTGACGTCCTTTAGGTGACCATCTAAGTGTTGTAAGGTTATTAAAATAACGTTCGATACAAGCACCCCTTCGTACGATATTATGCTATTTATTGATTTTGCTTATCCTTTGAAATAAAACCACATTGATGATTAAGTTTGATGATTAAGTATAACTTTATATAAATGCAGGACTCTCCACTCGGAAAGCAGCAACAGACAAAGCACCTAGTCGATATCGACCGCGCAGTCTCGCTTCTAAAAAAATATCTCGACGTCATTTTCGCTGCTCATTTCGCTGACCGTTCTGGGATAATAAGAATTGGGTGAGTGTAATTTTGAAAAATATATGTCAGATCGTGGCAGATTGTAATATAAGATATATTCTTACTGTGGCGCTCATTAAATCCACTTCGCATAACACAGACATACCCTATTACTTGCTAAGCTAAGTTTGTGCGAAGTTTTATGTATCCTTCCAACGCCGTGGCGGCGATATGATATGATATGACCGTTTAAACGTTATAAGTCATTTGTTAATATCTCATGTCCGTGAAGGCGTCGTTCAGGTTGTAATAAATTAAGACTCACAATGCCAAACAGGCAAATATGCATATTTATGAATGAAAGTGTAACTATTCACAGGTGAACCAAATGGGTTACTTAGTTGAAGCGCAGCAGCGGACGAAGAACTTGGATCGACTATGACTTTTGCTCGTGCGCATTATACAGGTGAAAATTTTCAAAATTCAAGCTGACAATTAAAATGTTTATTATATATTGATGTCTGACTGCAGGCCGAATACAGTGTCCCGGGTTGACAAAAATGTGATTTATTCCAAACTCCAAGATGCGAGATGGGTACTCCCGTAGTATGTGAACCAGGTCATGGTTATGCCATAATTTTATTCCGATTTTCCTTATTTCAGTTATATTACGAGCTCGGGGACTGTCTGTGTTAAACCCTGCCCGTAGGTTTCACTCCCTTCACACAACTTGATGTAAACAAAGCGAACAAAATTAGTTACCTCCATATTGGCACACGCAGGAACGCAGCCATCGGGGGGATACCCCCGTTTGAGAAAAAAATTTGATGTGAATTCCATCTACAAAAAAGCAACGGCTTAGTCGTGCATCATGGTTTCGCGGTCCAAGCGATATTATTTTGCGCGTTATCACCGTAACGCAAGTAACACCTACAGACTTTTTCCGTCTTCAAGATATTCTAACTTTTTTAGTTAGTGCTGATAAGAATTAAATAAAAATTTGTAATTGTTGATTGTAATTCCGGAAAGCATGTTTTTCCTTCTCTCCATGAAACACACATGAAACGATTTAACCGCCGTTATGGGCGCTCAAAAGAGGAAAAGGGTTTAGAGGCTAATTTAAGGACTTTCTCTCTTCCCGAATGAATCACTTTTATTTTAATACAAAGCACGGCGCATTGAAAAGCAAAATAGAATTTATTAACATTAATTTACAACGAGTTAGCGGTAAAGAATTTACCGACGGCTACCGCTAACTGGTAGAAACGAGATTCCTTGCCTCTTTGCGTCATATTTTACAATTCCTAATTTTGCGTAAAGCGTGTCAGCACCGTTTTCGTGAATTTAGAAACGTCGAACCAGGTAAGTAAGTCAGGTAAATAATGTATTTTATGGAAATTTATAGAAAGCTGAGTTACGTAAATACTCAATTTTAATTTAACTTAAAAACATTAATTGGAATGTCGGCCGCCGAAACAATCGCGGTGACAAAAAATTTACTGCAGCCCTCGATTATGACAAAATTATGAAATAAAAAGCGCCGCATTGTTAGGGAGTTTTCAGTCTTCTAGTGAAATCCAATAAAAAAAAAATTGATTGTCAGGGCGATTGTTCTGGCGGTCGACATCCAAATTAATGTTTAAAATGACAATACTTATTTTTCGGTGTTCGATGAAAATATTCAATATTCCAATAACTCTAAAATACGATTTTATCCGCCACTAATCACGGAGCATGTTAATAATCATTTCACATTTCATGCATTTGATCGGTGCTCTATGCGAGCGTGTTTTTTGTACATATATCAATCATGACGCTACTCATCTGAGAGTTATAGTTCTCTCTAAAATTAATTTCGCGATTTTTATTATTTTATTTCTAGATGCTAGTACCCGCTGACTACGGATTAATGGTCGATGTTTGAAATAGGACTTGCAAAATATTCAAACACCGTCAGGCAAAGTGGCAGGCTACACGTAACTGGAATTTCGCTGTGAACGACCATGCATTTTAGTTATGAACGCATTGTTACGTCGTCGTTAATAGCACTTTTGGCCCCTGGGTACACATACTTTTGGAGCGCCACGAGATGACTAAATGCCGGTAAAACAAAAATGGTTTGGATGGAGATGTATAAATGATTTGTTTCAATATTTTTAATTTAGTGCTAATTATGATTTATAAAACTTAACCGTTCATGTCCTTGGTCACTAACCCGTGTAAATTTCAACCCCAAACATTCTGATTATTTTACATTTTTTTGTATTTATAGGTTCGTCTGCATCCGAGGTAAAACGAAGATGGAATTTGGAACCGTTCTCGAGTGAAAAGCGGTTAACCCGAGGCCAGAATGGAGTTGAATACACTAATTATAATTATTATATCATATATATTATAAATTATATTTCTATTCATAACATTTATTCCCAAAATATTTCTATTCATAACATTTATTCCTAAAATTGCCAAGCATTCTGTCCAACTTGTATTATGAAATTCGAGTGATTGATGCCGGTACCCGTAAAACCAGAAGTTATACCCCTTGCATACTAACTGCACTAGAATATTTACTACACTGAAAATTCGGTGCGCCCCAGGATAATGTCCTTTTATTCTCGGATTTGCCTAATTCGAATTCTGTCTAAACTGGTATTGGCTAAAGTAGACTAGGTCCCCATTCATACGGATGTGGTGTGCGATAGTTTGATCCGTATGTCGCTATAACTCTTTCAACGAGATGGTGAACGTATAAAAATGCCTTTTCATTGTTATTGTTATTATGCTTATTCATTGTTTGCGAATGCTTGTACATCTATAATTATGGTGCGAATAAACTGACAACACTGATATTGCTTGATGAATTAATTAAATTATATATTAGGGATTCAAAAAGAGTTTTAAGCAGAATAGATTTTGGGCTACATAACAAGAAAGACTGAAAAGATAGCGTAGTGAGCGCCCTGGGCCCTGACTGGGCCCTGTAAGGGCGTGATTTTTGGCACGTGATTTACGGTTCGGCGGGCAGGCACCGTAGCGTGGCTGGTGGTCGGGTGCCCAGAACCGGGAAATTTTATCCGGAATAACTTATGTGTGGCCGATCGTATGCAATAGATGATCCGAGCGTGATTCAAGAGATTTACGTTGAATCATGTATGATCATATATGATCTGCATATAAATATTAAAATTCCGCTTTTTCACGTCTGTGAACCTTTGATTTCCCTGATTTTGGAGTTTGAAGCATCTAATCAGCCTTGCAAAACGTACAGTTTATTATCTGGAACGCACAACGAATGAGACTCGAACCATGAGCATAAAGGTCTAAATGTCCACCGCCTTTACCGACTAGACTAAGTGAACGTGAGCTGCTTTAAAGATCTAAGTTCTACTATTTATATATAAGTGAATAAAAGTTAGATAAAATCGACAGAATTGAACATCTGGAGATAAATATCAGAAGTTAGTTAAAAATATACCATCGTCAATCGTGGGCTAGTGGGTGGCGGCGTACAATTTAAGTTCCTCGTTTGCCTTGATGCTCCTGGTTCAAACCCACGAAGTCCTACTCCGAAAGCGGCTTCGAATCCAAATTGATCGAAAAACAGCTCAAATTGAAGGCTGAGACCCATAAAATCAGAAATTTTCAATTTTCATATTGTGATCATATACGATCAAGCTCGATTGTACATAAATTACTGGTTTTATGCTTGAATTATCTATGAAAAACGATCGGCCATACATAAAGTATACGGAGCATTATTTCTGGTTTCTGACGCCGCTGCAAAATTTGATGACGTCACACCTCTCCCTAAGAAACCCATCCGTAAACCTAGCTGGTGACGTCACGAATCATCACTGAATACACCCACACCTAGCATCAAAGCGCTAATTACAGTTTCCCTATAATAAATAAAACTTCCCCACGCAAAATATAATTTTTCAAATTTATTAGCAAATTGCAAAATATTAGCACAAGAACTACATCATAGCAGAAATAGATAAGAAAAAACAATTTTTCATGCACACCTCTCCGATTTATCCCTAGAGTGGCGATTTATACCTATTCAATCCACCGAAACCAAACTGAACAATTTAGGAAGCCTCCTGCTCTGCGGTAACACATATTCTATAGTCTATACGACTTGTCTGACAAGATAAAAATAGAAATAATTTCAGAAAATTAAGCATTTTGAAGATTTGACGCTATACGACCCCGGGAGAAAACTTGAAATCAATAAAAAAGCTAATAAATAAAAACGTATTTGGTAAAAAATAGCGATTAGAATAAATTAAAAATTTCGCTGGAGTTCAGATTCCAGACTTGCGACTCCGGCAAATTCCATGCAGAAACAACTAAACCAGACTCCACCTCCAACTCTGGGAATGCTAGATTACTTTGATCGGCGTATAGAGTTCTTTACAAAGGACTTTTAATTCGACTACGGGTTGTTGCATCTGACAGAGAACGAAGTTTAGGTCCAATTTTCATTCTCGATTTGCTTCGACGCGGGAATCTGGTAAACTTCAGAATATTGTTGATTACTTTTCTACTTTTGTTCTAATATTTACCCCCTAATGAAATAAAACTTTTTTTCCGGGGGCAGTTGAGCAAGAACTACGAGATACATTTTTAAAAAAGACAAATATACTCCCGTTTGCATAGTTGGACAAGAATCTACAAAATGTGCGGTCCCACACCAACCACAAACCAATGTTTTTCAATTACGTTTAAATCTGAGAAGTATTGGCAGGCAGGGCGAATACTCAAATATATCAACCTGATGCATACATTGATATGTCACCCGGAGTGCAATATACACGGCTGGTCTTCTACATTTCCGCACTATACCGCAGGAAAACTGGCCAGGCTAAAATCTTTTATAGTCAGATATCAGGGCTAATACTGAAAATAATTCAAAATCTTACAAGTCTTTTGTAATGTGGCGATTGATGCAGGTATGGAACTCATCTATGCAATGATCGACTCAACAAATCGCCAGTGCAGGTGCAGCCTAAAAACATTATCTCTGCGTTAATCATGGGGTCAACGCATTGAGAAATATCCATTATAAAAAACCGGTACTAGCTTAAAGAAGCAACTATAGAGGACTATAACTCTGGGTGAAAAAGCTGCTCGTATTTAGGCCGGGCTGCTTCTTAAATACCAATGTTCAATCACCAACGCCTAAATATAGTGAATTTTTTAATAAGTATGTTAAAGTACCCACTGAGAAGAGAACTCATTCAAGGGTAAAATGTTATAGAAGCATTGAGTTTGAAGCGGCGCCATATTATTATTGAGATTATAACCGCGAGACCGTGGCTCCAGGCTGTTCAGTGCAATCCTGACTGAAGGGCACTAGTCTAGAATATGGTAAGCAGCTTAAGTACTGGGCAGTAAAAAAAAAGCTGTTTGTAGTGTTGAACTAGACAAAAACGAAAGGAAGAAAACAATCATAAACTATTTGAAAGACATCTTTGCAGTTAATAGCGTGAACAACATCTCTATTAGCGTGACCTGATAGACGTTCTGCAATGTTGAATCACACCTGAAAAAACGCGTATTATTTAGGAACGATTACTTTATAATAAATTACTATCAACAAGTTTAGAGCTGGACTTTTTAGAGTTTTTTTTAGTTTAGAGTCATCATTTTTCATTGAATGACTGACACGCTTCCGAATACACGTCATTGAAACTTCTCAAACCAGTGATCAGCTCTGCTCGAGATAACCAGCGTAATTCGTTATATGGATTTGCACCCGTTACACTGTTCGATCTCCGTACCAGACAATTATGCATTTTAGTAACTGAGCACCTTCCTGGTGTTGGTGGGAGTTGATATTTTTAGAAATCACGTTCCTACCTAAAATATAAATTCAATAATTATGGGGAAATGCAATAATTATGAGGGATTACTTAACAATGAGTCACAACTAGAAATTCACCATATACCTATTTGCATGTTTCGCCAGTTTCGCTTAAAAAGGCTGGAATGATTGATAACAATTCGGGTGTTCATGAAATTCTACTCCTCGACACTTTCAACAACATCTTGATTACAGCATGAAAACACCTGATCGATAGGCAATCATGCTGTTGGGGTTCTCGCTCTGAAAACCAACCCGACCTGGAAGAAGCAAGCGATAATTAGAAACAATTACTTCACAATGAGCTACGATTACACCCATACAGTATATTGATTTATCACGTACCTGTTTACAAATATATTCAGACAGATTCGCTGGTGATTCAGTAAAAACAGTGTTGGGGATGCAAGAGGTACTGACTCAAGCGCGTCCGGGTTCAAAAAAACTCAAGTAACTGAATGGAATGAATCTCGACTCGTTATCAATCAAACGCCATTCACTCGATGATCGACACTACTTCTACCTCTGAAAGTAAAGTACTTAATGTAAACAATAAATTTACAATAAACTCCAACATAATACCCACTTGAAATCGTACCTGTTGGCATGATCCGTCGTTTTCACCAGTTCGGTTCGGTGGTTGGCGCATTGTGCGAAGCGTCAGGAACACTATTTGATTACCCCATCAAGTTTTGAATGCAGTGGGTGATATTAACGCTGGGCTTCTCGCCGTCGGAATGGTGGTTCACCGTTTCACGTAATCGACGGTCCGCCTTATGGCTTCCTCAACAATCAATTTCACTGAAACAAACAATGGTCATCAATTATCACACTCGACATAGATTGGTAACAGGATGAGGGCGTGGTTAATCTTGATGAAAATAAACTTTTTGAAGACAAAAAAAAAAAAAGTGGGACTTACCTACTCAACTTACCACCCTCGCACCATGACTGGTAAATAGCGCTCACCGTGCTCATGGGTAGCATGAACCAGTCCCAACAACACGTTTCACGACAATTTCACATAGAAAATCAAAAATCTGACAATAGAAGTCCCACAAAATCAGTAAAAAAGTATCAGAAAAAGTAACAGAAAAAAAGTAACAAAAATAGACAAGATGAACCAGGAAGCATTTGTAAATATTAGGCGACTGATGCATTGACTGACTGATCGTGAACTAACAATACCAATGAGACATAGCTTAGGTGATCGACTCATATCGAGACTAACCTAAGCTAACAGAGTTCATTCGGGACTAGCCTTCGGGCTCGCAACTGTGGGTCAAGGAACTTTTACCCATCACTGGAATCATCGACCTTCATACAATGGTGAAATCACAGACAAAAACGCAATATAGAACAAAAAAGCAAAGCTCGAATTCATGGACACGAAAGTCAAAACGAAGTAGTATCAATTTTTTGAACAGTTGAATACATAACACTCAATAAGTTACAAATAGTTTTTTCACTAATAACCCAATATCTAACACCCCCCCAAAATTTGGAAACGGTATAAAATACTTTGGATTGTATATATATACTATAAACGATACCTATTTTTACTCGGGCCATTCAATATGTAGCTTACAACGCTCGGCCTTCTACTTTTTATACATTTTAACTCCTGGAACTTAGCATAAACCATTAATTTTATGTACACCTATATTAAGTACTGTGCTTTACAACAGAACAAGAAAACCTGTAATACGCACAACTTCAGCTCAAACCTAGCCAAAATTTGCACCTACGAATACCTCGATTCCGATTCAAATGCGCGACGTTTCTTTCGCCAACGTGTCAAAATAAGGTGAAGGCAATTAAAATAAAGAAACATAGAAGAAAATAAAGTAATTAAGGAAGGACTGCCGCTGAGTGGGTAATGACTGTTGTCACGTGGTATAATTTTGTCCTGATTTGTCCAAAAGTCTACTCAGCTCCGAGAGTTTCTCAAACTTGTTGCTTATCACTTCGTCGTATTGCAAATGGTGGACTAATCATTTTGCAATTTACTCGATTTCACAAAATATAATAGAAGAATATAATATAATAGAATATAATATAATGAAGTATACTTGAAAGAACACACAACATGAAAGATCGGTGGGCAGGACATCTTGCCAGAATGGGCAACATGAGATTGGCCAAAATCACAACAGAATGGACCCCAAGGGAAGGAAAACGACGGAAAGGTAGACCAGGAAAGAGATAGAGAGACAGCATAGAGGAAAAGTGCTTGCTTAAAAAAAGAAGTACCTGGCGTCAAATGTGGAAGCTATCTGTCTGCAGTGTCATTAACAGCTAATGATGAATCAATCATATCCCACATTTAAATTCTTTCGAAATGAAGCCCCTCACAAGCAGCCATCTTAAGATACGGAGAACATGTTCACTGATGTTCACCGTTTGTAAAATATAAAAAACGGCCTAGTGGTTAAAGCGTTGGACTTATGAGGACATCGTATGTTATAACCTAGGGTTTAAGTCCCAAGTCCACCACTTCACCCAGGATGTGATAAACTTTAAAGATTACAGCTGTAATCTGTGTCCACAGTAACCAAAAATATGTTTCGTATTTATAACATTGTTTCTAAATCGAAAAATGAAATTTTCTTTCTCGATGCAGACTGCTACTGCCATTTAGGCATTTGTAACGTTATCTTTTATAGTTGCTTATTTAGGTAGGTTGTACAAGCCTTTAAAACCATACACCTTACCATAGAAGTACACTTATTTATGGAAGCTGAAATCACATCTGATTGTAATAATGCTAGAGTGTGATTTCTTTTTGTCCGTTGTTGTCGAATCGATTGTCAACTAGAACTGAATATGGACCTTCTGAAGTATGTGCACCAAGATGGCGCACAACCTGAACTCAGGTTGTGTACCAGGTTGGGGTTCAGGTTGTGCGACATCTTGATGCGCATACTTCAGGTGTACCCTGAATATTTCGAATCAAATAAAAAATTATTTGGGTCTGTTCAGACAAATATTTTAAATAGCCGCCATCTTGTTGGTAATTTGTACGCCCAAGTTCAAGTGGGTCCCTAAATTTTGTTTATGGAAGCCATCTTTTTGAAATGACTTTTTTTATTCTAGTCTGTAATTTATGAAACTTATTTCGTATTGTGTATGAACAATCGGTGATCCGTCTGAGTTATGGATCCTATGTTTTCAGTAATTTATGTATCTGAAGGACCCATTACAATATAAAAAAACACATTCAATCACTACATATCTTCCAAGTATTCAAGATTCGATTGATTCGAAAAAATATTCGATTCGATTCCGAAATCATTAGATATTAAAAAATGCGACATAGATGTAAATCGCAATATGTTGCCTGCGTTGAGGAAAACTGAAGTATTGGGTAATATTCATTCAACATTACTTGTTTGAACTCCTGAACATTGGGAATGTTCACATGTTTCTGAATGACAACACTTATACAAGAACTTGAACGTTTTTGAAAACTATTTCGTTTGTATTGAACAAACAGGATTAAATACGTTACTGCTAAGTGTACAGAACAAATTGACAGACATGTTGAATAATATAATAACTTATCTAATATTCATAATATATCTTCTGCTGTTCTTTTCATGTAATTTAAAATTTTATATGACTACAAAACTTGTTAATCAAGGATACCATATCAATATACAAGCTCAGCGCATATTTTTTCCGGGTTCGGAAAGTTAGCAATTCCTATGTCAAAATATTTGGCACACATCATGAAATTTTATAGTTCAATTCACGATAGCGTATTTCGAATAGCTATTCCCAAGTAAATATTTGCCAATTTCACGAACTGAATTGTAAACTGAAATAAATGTGGGATCCATCAATTTGGGTGTGTTTGATTCGCTTTGTTATTCACCAGTTGTATATTAAAAACACTTTTTACTCAAAATTATTCAAGATCATACGTGTGCCAATGATGCAATACCAGTTATAGTCAGAAATATCATGGAGCCAAATATTTTTGGTGTTTGAAAAGCACTTCCAGCATTTGGTACTTTCAAATCTGTGTTTACAAATTACTGTTTCAACAATTTTGCCCAAACAAGGGAAACATCCACGTTGGTCGTACTTGCGTGAATAATAGTGAAACAGTGCAATTTACAAATCTGAACCACGCATGGTGAATTAAACAAATTGCAGCGAACGAATTCAGATAAAAACATGAGAGAAACATGTTGAACCTCATAAAATATCTCGTGTTTGTCATTATTTTTTCTAACGTTCTTTTAGGATGAGTCTACATATGCGTCATTTTATACGCTCATTCGATTCCTTTTTGTAACATATGTCTGTGTAGTCATACAGGAAATTTCATATGTGATAGGCAGCCTAATATTATTTTGAAATCTTTGTTGATAGCAATAATTTGGAAATTAATTGATATACATAAATACCGGAAAGAACTGAAAAATTCATGATTATGTGATATAAAAAGGATCATTCAATCAGAATACCAAGGATTTATTCAGAAATTATTATTTCGCATAATTAGAGCCAAGAATATTTCATTCTCAACCTCACTGTATTTTTACCTTTTTAAAATAAATATGTTACCCAGGGGTGTTAATTAATGTGACAATATGACGAAAAAGGAGGCAGAACAAACGGACGAAAGACCGCAGTGGGATAACAAAGCACAGTTTCTGTTAACTTGTGTTGGTTTCGCAGTTGGACTTGGAAACATTTGGAGATTTCCTTATATATTACAAAAAAATGGAGGCGGTGAGTTAATTTTTGGGAGGAATATTATTCCATGAATATATATATTGTTTTGTACTATGTTCGTTTGAACGATTTCCATTATTGATCAGGAGTCTGCAATCTGTTGTTATTTGCGTGCCAAAATTAAATCCTATTGGATTTGGCGGGTCAGATATTTTTGGCAATCAAGACACGGATGAGCAATGCCTCAACCACTTTCCACCTTTAAAACGGATGATACATTTGACCGAACAGCACGAGCGATTTTGAATGCTTATGATACAAAAAGATAACAGGAAACCAGGCCCGAATCGATTTCTATAACACAGCGATATTGCCGTTTTATCACATTAACTTCACCTACAAACGGTGGAAGTGAGATTGAAAGACATTTGAACCACGTTAAAATAACCGTTGCGGGTTTTATTGTCAAAAAATTATCAAAAAATTGTTCCTATAAACGAATTAGAAATTAGTATTGAATATTATGGAGCCGTGTTTTCTAAAATATGTTTTGTCCACTAGACTAGATAACAGAGGTTGAAAATATGCATGAGAAAAGTCATTACTTCCAGAAAAAAAATGTTTTTAATTCTATTTATTAGTTGAACCTACGTGAGTTTGAATTAAAAAAAATTATCGATGGAAAATGATAAAATTCTTGAACTTTTATTATACTAAGTTTTATATGTTATCAAAAGTATATCACAAACGTTTTCAAGTGAAACATATTTAACGGGATTTCTAAAAATCACCTGCTGCGTATATGTCACACGGATGGTGTTTGCCCACTATTATAGCAAAAAACAAACACACAATATGGCGTAATTTGTGACAAAAATCGATTTTAAAAATGCTATATAAACGCTAATTTATGACAAATTAAAGACGGGTCATTAATTGGAAAAACTGTTCACTGGGAACAGTATTATATCTGCGGTAAACAAATCCAAATCGAAAATAATTTTGTTATTTTTTGAAGGTAAATTAAACTGTAATATCATAAGTGGATTCTCTCTGGCGGTATTTTATGATGATATCCTTCTTTCTATGTTTTATCCGTGTATCCCAAAGTAAAATCCTACATAAGGTTGTGCCACTTCTCAACTTTAAAATCCCTAGTCGAAAATCAAAATGGATCAGTTTCTAAACGGTGAAGTTAAAATATAAGAAATCTCATTTTGGAGATAGATAAAATTTATTACAAGTTATCAATTCAACGAACAATATCTCATTCAATGTGACATTGATAACATCGTCCAGATCTGTGCAATTCAACGCTTGTGTCAAAAGCAGGATATAATTTTACTTTACTCAAATAAAAATCACAGAAATCATGTAACTCGTATCATAAATTGGATGAAATTTTATTATAAAAAATGTTATAATTTTATGACAGCATGTATTTTTTAGGAAGCCGCTGTCACACAGCAACCCAAAAGGGCTTTAGATACCTAGCCACAGATACGTAAAGATACACTATCTTTGCAACTCTGATCGGTATAAAAAAATTTTCCACTTCACAACGGTGTTCTAAAATCGAGATATTGAGTATTTTTCAAATGTATATGACAACGTTTTCAGACTTGTTTATCGCTTTTATGAATTTATGACTTGATCATGTCATAAAAATGATAGATTTTGATTTGAGATCACTGTTTTGCCACTCTTCTCCTAACACTACCCATATTAAACGTTGGCGAGCCCTCTCACCACCCTCTGTTTTAATAATGAAAACTCTTTATTGAACAACCATTAATTGTGACGACGAAACTGTTGGCGAGCCCACTAACCACCTTATCTTTGACGAAATTCTGACGAAACTTCGAATGTATCAAAATTCTGATAACTGTTTTGGCCCTCTTTATTCAAATATTGTTAAGAATTATCGTTATAAATATTTCAATTATATTCGCACTCTTCTTGTTGAAAGTAATTCGTGTGTGATTTATGCATAACACCGATATATATTTGCCAAAAACTTTAATGTGTTTACTACTAAGGCAAACTCCGTAAATTGACGTCGTGTTAGTCAAATATGGCTTTATCGCATTTTCTTAGAATTGGGTTATGAATCCTCGTGGGATAATGACATCACGTAACTTGTAAAATAACTATGTAAACAATTACAGTGTGACAAATTGATTACAAGTTCATAGCAAGTTCATCGACAAAGATAAATTATTGTAAATTCACAAGAACGTTTATGATGTGGTTCTGAAATTCATTTTAAAGTGGAAGTGTCATCTTTGTAAATTTGTCAACTTTGTATCGGACCATCCGATCCACGTAAATATTTCATTACCTATTACATAATGTGGCAAACTAGTGTTATATCAATTGTATTCAACAATGCGTTTAACTCCCGTGACATATGAAGCAAACATTCTGTCATGAACATGCACGGATTACGAAGCCATCGCTGAAGTTTATTAAATGACTAGGTTACTTTGTTTGAATCTTATAAGACCTTGAAACAAATCTTACTTATACTCTATAAAATATCGTTTCAAAGTAGAGTTTATGTTTGGGTTTTTGATTGCAACAGATTGTTTTCAACGAAAAATGGTATACTTCGCAGACGGTTAAAATTTACAATAATATTTGTGGATATGATTAGGAGCCATAAATTATTACACAAATATATATACCACCAACTCAAATCCAGTCGGGTTATGGCATATACTTTATTTCAGGTGCATTCCTCATTCCCTATTTCATTATGCTGTTTGTCGAAGGAATTCCTCTCCTGTATCTTGAATTGGCTGGAGGTCAACTTCTTCGTGCCGGAAGTATTGGCGTTTGGAGAAAAATCAGCCCATACATTGGAGGTAAACGCGGTATTATCTGTACCGGACAATTCTAAGTGTGTTGGTCGTAAATATAAGAAGTGCTAACAATGTGAAAATATGCACATAAAAATCGTGGTTTCTTGGGTAAACTCAATAAAGCAATCCTCAATGTTTTGTCAAATCCGACATGTGAATGCGTACAAAGTAATACACTGGTTGAGCCATGTTTCACTGTTAATTAATATGAAACAGCGAAAAAAATTAATTTTTTACCTTTGAAGACTACTTCATCATCTTAGAAGTCATTGGTTAAAATGATAAATAGTAAAATGCTGAATAGCAATTTTTCAACAATATCTTTCGAAGAAAAAAAAGATAAAAGGGATTTCGGTCCGGGAATTTTGATTTATATCAACAATAGCACATGAATTTAAATCTCGATGATTTTGAAATATGCAAAAGAGAAGGAAAGTTTATGACTCTTCGCTTTATTCTTGTCCAAGAATGATCTTAAAGTTTTTTATTGTCTTACACCACTTCTCTTTAGGTATTGGAATATGCAGCATGTTTGTTTCTTTTCTCATTGGAGTATACTATAATACCATTATTGCGTGGTGTCTCTGGTACATTTTCAACTCTTTCCAGGTGGGTAAAATGCGTCTAGAGTATGTCTGAATTGCTGGTAACAAATTGGAAAATGTAAATGAACATTTGACTCCTTGCTGGTCAAACCGCTATCCGGAAAATGAAAAAATTAAGACAAATTGACAATAATATATTTTGTGGTGTTGGCAACAAAAATGAGAATTTACAATTTTAACAAGAAGAAAGGTTTGTAACGCAACTTGACTGATTCAATCACCAGACTATAAGAAGACAACAAAGAGCTAGATTTCGTCGTGTTTTTGAATACAGAAATACACAACAAATTTCATATTCACAGGAACCATTGCCCTGGAAAAATTGCCCACCAAATGCAAATTTGACTGCTTATGTTACTGAATGTGCAAAGAGTTCACCATCACAATATTTCTGGTATCGTGACACTTTGAATATTACGCCTGCTATTGACATAAGCGGAGGTATCCAAGTACATCTTCTGGCGTGTTTGATTATGGCTTGGGTTATTGTTTATCTTTGCATCAGTAAAGGTATAGCATCCTCGGGAAAAGTAAGTAAAGTTTTGTGTTCTTTGTATCGACTGTCATCTCTTGAGATTGATTAATTAGCTACCTTCATGTATTTCTGTATGACGAATTGGGTACCTGGCTCTATATAAACATGCCTTTATGATATTAAACGGTCTATATAGGGATAGACTTTGTTCAACAAAGATTTTAATTTCATCTCATTGTCTGGGATTTTCGTCTATCCAACACGCCCTATGAACTATGTCAAACAAATTAAAAAAAATTAAGGTGCGAACTGTTGTGATATACACTATTAGGGGTTAGCCTTTTTATCGATTCTGTGAATGACATATTGGTTTAATTCTTTCATGGTATTTCATTTCAGGTTGTCTATTTCACAGCAACCTTTCCATACTTCGTGTTGGTTATATTCTTGGGCCGAGGTTTGTCATTAGAAGGTGCAGGAACAGGCGTCAACTACTTATTTTCAGCTGATGTAAGCAAGCTTCCAAATTTGCAACGTTTTTATTTTTGCAAACTGTAGTCCAATAAACCCACAATTAATATATTTTTATACTTCCAATGGTATTTTAGAGTTTGGTCAAATTGTCACATCATAGTGTTCCTAAATTTAAATTAATCCACAGTTTATAGCGATAGGTAAATTGCGTTCATGACATTACGACGATGAATATTTTTGTATAATAAGACATGTTCAAGAGCTGCAAGCGTGATCAAGCTGTTGAACCACAATATACGGGCTCGAACATTTGTCCTTATCTGTATGTTTAACTTGGTGTTTTGAATTATGCCCAAAAGCTAACAAAAACAAACGATAGAATAACTTTTATCATTTTGGTCGTCCTTGTGTTTTCTGTATAACTTTTCGCATTTCAAATTTCCCGTGTGACCCGATCGGCTTAGACGTCGATCTTTTCATCAAAATCAGTGCTCTGAGGCTTCATCTCACCAATGCCAGACTTTCGTGTCCATATATTTGAAATTTTTTCTCTTGTTTCCGTGATCTTGTTTCAAATTTCGTGTTATTAAATTTATTTGCTATTAGAATTTGTTAGATATGATGAATTAAATAATACGAATTTGTTACAGTTTTCCCAATTGTCAAATCCCAGCATATGGCTCTCTGCTGCAACTCAAATCTTTTTCTCATTGAGTCTTGCGTTTGGAGGAATGATTGCTTTTTCGAGTTACAATCCAAGAGATAACAACTGCGAAAGAGATACTCTCATTGTAGCTTTCATAAACTCTGGAACCAGTATTTTAGCAAGCGTTGTAGTGTTTTCGGTGTTGGGCTTCAAAGCCACCGTGGAATGGAAAGAGTGTGTAAATGAGTAAGTATCTATTTTGCAAACTATTATTGATACACAATTTCGAAACATTAACCAACAGTATTCAATCAAATCGTATCACATGACAAACCTAGAACAGTGGTTCCCAAAGTTGATTGGCCGGGGGCCAAAATAGGAAGGGGATAGAAAACAGCGGGCCGGAAGAGGGAAGCGTCTGCAATGGCCCGCTGTGGTAATGACGTAACAATTGACGGTATCTAGAACGCAAAAAAAGTAAAAACATGAAGTGTTAAACTATTCCACTTAAGTTTGGCGGGCTATATTAACTCGTTACGCGGGTCTTAATTGGCCTGCGGGCCGCGGTTTAGTGACCAGACTTGACCAACGTTTCCCCACAAAGGGGAATTCCTCCCCAGGGAGAAATTTTGTCGTTATTGGGGAGAGAACTTTGCTTTGCATTGTTTGTAGTATTACAAATAATATCAATTCTTTATACACACATTATGAGTGCGACTTGTGCATAACACTAGCAAGGAATTTTATAAGAATTGAATGAACAACCTAAACAAAGTTTTCATGCATAGCAAGGAGAAATAAAGTAATTCAAATAGGCGAAGAGAGGAATCTACCGAAAATTGTTGGTTACCACTGCAATTTCTCAATCGAAGTCATCTTAAATGAACAAATCTTTGAAACGCTGAGTGATGTCTCAAAATAAAAGATTGATATATCCTTTTCTAGCAATATTGAAACAATCCTTGATTCTCGGGAGATGCCAGAGGGAAGTATCAATGTGGACAGTTACGACGAATATGTTGATGTCAACGATGTTTCAGATTTGAATCTCACCAGTTGCGTTGTGGAAGAGTTTTTAGATACGGTATATCGATTATACCTTTGGTGATATTGATGGCATGAACTGATTTTTTATGAATTCCGCAAAAAACGCTAACCAGTACAATGTAATTAGAAAAATTGTAATAATATGTACTAAATATTTGTCCGTAAAAACCACGGTATTGTTTTTCGTTTATATTTATTGATTTAATAACGTTGACAAGTTTCTAATGTATTCTTGTTACAGAGTGCTTCTGGCGCGGGTCTGGCGTTCATTGTAATTGCCGATGCAATTGTAAATATGCCAGGATCTCAGTTTTGGTCAATATTGTGGTTCATGATGCTGTTTTGTCTGGGAATTGATTCCATGTTTGGAACAATGGAAGGATTGATCACTCCTCTCTATGATATTGGAATTTCAAAAAAACTCAAGCAAATATATATGATCTGTGAGTACTTTTGAGTAAATGGAAATATTCTTAATTAAACAATGAGAAAACTTGAAAATTCTTTAAATTTAGCGATAAATGCAGATACACAACATCATGAAAATTAATAATAAAAAGAGAATAAAATCAAAGGTACGAAGTGATTGCCTGAAGCCGATTCACAAAATCTTTTTTCAGTAATAAAAAAAATATTAATATAATTTTCTGGGAAATTTCTCAAAATGAACCAGCATAATATTTAACTTTTGCAAGTATATAATTTTGGTAATGTATCTCCAAAAAATATGTCCAGATGTCTATCCTGCATGTCAATCAATATTTAATTCAAGAAATACGAATTACAATTTCACGCTGTCTTTCTAATTAAAATGGTAGCACACCAATATGATTTGCCACTTCGATTCACAATTTTGACTGAAGACTGTTCACAAAATCGATTGTTATCGATAGCCCAAAACGATATTTAAAAGTGATCGTTAAATGAACAGTTCACACAGATTCTTTTATTCTATTTACCATTTTCATTTTATTATATTTGCCAACACACAAAATTGCTTTTCTCGAAATAAGCAATATAGATATAAATAAATATATATAGGTAGAGTGACAAACTACCAGGATCATTGTCGTATTGAGATTTGTTCTATGTAATGTATTTATGAACGATGGTAATGATTAACAAATGCGAAAAAGTACAATATGAACTTTTAAGCTTTGTTCAAACGACTGTCCGTTGTTCCGTCAGTACGAACGATTCCTTACTTCTAACTTACATCAAAGTGTTTCTTATTTCAGCTATCGTCATCAGCATATCTTTTTTGATTTCACTCACGTTTGTGCAAGGATCCGGTAATTACTGGCTTGATATATTCGATACGTACGCAGGAAGTTTACCACTTCTTGTTATCGCCTTTTTTGAATTAATCGCTGTTGGATGGGTGTTTAAATATCGAAAGTAAGTTCAAAACTAAATTGTTGTACACTTGATATTCCTTTGGACACGAAACGGACGTATAGATCGTTTTCTTACTATGTCGTTTGTTTTCTCCTTAATTATTAAACCAATTGCTTTAAAATTTTGGTGAATAAAGATTATTGTTGTCACTAGAGGCCTATTACTTCTATTCATTCTGAAAATTTCTGAAGGCTCCATGGGGTTCGTGTTTCACTTTGACGTTTTGTGTTGTGATGTCAAAAATTTTAAAATAAAAATGACTTGTAGCGGTTTTGTGACCACATGATACGCTTAGTGAAGTCGGACGTTTTAGACTTTTTGCGGTAGACGACGGTACTGTAAAAAATTCGATAATACAGTGGGGACTCGGATCATTTAGTATTTTATCTCACGTCAAAACTGGGAGCATGAAATATCATCTTGGCGGGACTTGGGAAAGCTGGGACCGCTATAAAGGTACTGGTACGTTGCCATAACTGTTACATAGCTTAGTTCATAATATCATTTTCGGGCAATTGTTGGTACAAAAACATCGTTTCGGCTTTATCGTCCATATATTTGAGCATTGATTTCTTGTTTCCGTAGCTGCTTATATAGATTCTTGCTTAGACCGATTTGCAAAAACTCTTGGGAAATAGTTTATGATTAAATTCAAAAAGTGAACTATAATAGTTTTATTATTAAATCAGGTTTGAAAAGGCGGTTGATGAAATGATTGGCGAACAAAAAAATTGGTTCCGAATTTGTCTACGTTACTACTGGTGGGCTATGATCCCGGTAATCAGCCCTATTGTACTTGTCGCTGTTTTTATTGGATATTTATATGAGAAGTTCTCGTCTGAAAACACTTATTCCGCATGGATTGCGGACGAGGTAATCATATTTCAATAAGATTTTGTTACTTTTGCAAATGATTGTAATTAGTTGTTTAGTTATTATCTTTGAATATGGAGTGCTGTAAAAAAATGTAAAATCGTCGACAGTATAGGTTTGGTATTATAAGGAGGCACATAAACGTCTATTTTCAACTTTAACACAGGGTGCAAATGTCCCCAAGGAGTATCCACCGGGAGCAGTAGCTGTAAGTGCTATCATAGCCATTTCATGTACGATTTGGATCCCAGTAGTAGCCGCCGTGAAATTTGTGCAAAATCGTTACTTTAACAATGAACCTGAAATTGGAAACACAGCCATGACCAGATACAATCCTAACTCGACTGATGGAGTTGACAATGCAGTATTTGATGACAAGGTTTGTTGTTATAAAATAGTTAATTGTACAGACAGGCCGAGAAACTTGATGCCCTTACAGATATACAGTTTTTAGATTCATCATATTGAATTCACATTTCGGAGTTTAGTTTTAATTCAGATTTAGTTGGGATGAAATGGAAATCCCTACTTTGATACCAATTTAAATTTCAATATTCACCCTTGAGAAATGATTACTTTGTTGCAATATTTCAACTGTATTTTCACGTCGTGGTCATGGATTATTCTGGTGATTTGTGCCCCTCAATTTAGATATGTACACTACACTAACATGTTAATCAATGTTCTAAGGAATCATATAGAACTAAAACTGCAGAACTTCTTTCCATAGCTCCATACTTCTAATTGTTAATATCCAAAACCGATTCATGAATTTGAAATTATTATCGTTTTACAGGAGGGTGACACGAAAGAAAATAAGGCGTAAAGGCAAAGAGATCAAAAGAAACATAATCAAGAGTTTTCCATTGCAATGCATCTGAAACCACGAAATTGCAATGTCCATGATGAGAAAATATATATATATATATATTATTGAAACCAAATTGAGTAATTATGACCAATAAAAGAAATCACATTTATATTGAAATTTAGTTTAATTTAGTTGTTCTTAACAATAATGTAATGTTTTCATAAAATTATAATTATAGTATTTTTTGTTGTTCAAATATTGGGCTTTTGATCAGGTGGAATTTTTTTGCGATTATTTAATTCGGAACTACGCGCGACCATAAGTCGTCATATGACACCCAATCGCAGAAATTCTGTCACACAAATTGATAATGCTTGATAATTAATAATATGTTTCAGACACAAACTTATGCAAAATGTTCAAGAAAAGCATCATTGTATAATCGATCTTTCAATCGTCTACGGTACTCTAGCCCTGGCAACGACCGCGGTCTTTATCAATGCCGCATCTGCAACCACTCGGAACCTGAAACATAAAATGAAATTTTGCTATATTTTGTTTTTTCAAATGACTTGTCCCGCTTGGTATTTTTAAGACAACGGTGCGATAAAACTAATACTTCCAATTCTATAAAGAATTGTCAGATTATGATTCTTTCAATTCCAAAATTTCCAAAGCATAATATATGGGTAAATTTAGAGAAATAATGGCGTTGCTGAGACAATGATTAAAGCCTTTTTGGACAGCATCTTTCACTAATCAATAAATTCAGAATAAGTCAAAAACAAAGATTCAATTTCAAACAAAATACAACTCACAAAAGTCGTTATACTCTCGCACCAAAATAATATATATATAATGAATAAAATCATGATTTGCTTGGTATTCTTGATGTCGTAGACCAGAGTGTGCCAGTAGTGGGCAAGGTTTTTGAACCTTTGGGCTATAAATTATGCCCAACTAGAATGACAGGCCAAAAAAGAGTTACATTTTATGAACAATATTTACAGTGTTGCGAAAGTGGAAAACAATGAACCTCGTGCTAAAGTCAACAAATTCCTTGAGCTAATTTTTAGCTGAAACATCAAACTTTGGTTTTACTTTGGTTGTGGCAGCATCTGGCGGGCCAGATTGAATTACCCAACGGGCCAAATTTAGCCCGCGAGCCGTAGTTTCCCCATGTCAGGTGTAGACTGTAGACGTTGAGCAGGGCTGTATTTACCATTAGACACAGTAAGCAGACGCTAGGGGGCTTCGGCATTCAATTTGAACCATTATCCATTTTGAGCCGTTTTTGAATTGTAAAGGATTGTTCCAGATAAAAACGGTTTTGAATTCCATAAAAGTAATATTTGTTTAATTTTTTAATCGAGTGGATAATTCTTGTTCCAAAAACTATTTGTTTTGAAGGTTAAAAAATTGGAATTAGATAACATTTTTACCTTAACTTGTTAATTGAAATCAATTAACTTGTCGAAATTTGAAAAGCATCATAGTGCCATGGCGTTTTATTACAGCTTTGATTTATTTAAACTACTGTTCAATCAAGGTACGTATTCTGGCTGTACCTGTAACTGAAGTAAGTTTATAATTTCATGCAATTTAAAATTTTATTCCTGACATCATAATATATTTCACGTAAGATTAAATACCATATGTCACATCATACTATACTCTTTATACCATCATTGTTTAAGAGGGGTTTTAAAACTGGCGTAGCCAAAGGCCTGTCATTGTCTATTTCCGGTCGTGACAACGAGTAAATGCAGTTATAGTCACAGGAATAGAATGATAGAATCATATTAGACATTGGAAATGAACTAAGTCAAAGAAAAGAAAAACAAATATTAAATAAATAAAAGATAAGATACACGTACACGAGCAAGTAACTTTCTTTCCAAACTTTTCGGCCGTTTGAGATTGTTACCCCGCCCTGGGTAGACAGTAATAGTGCCCGTTATGATGACCCAGTCAAATTCGTGTTGACATGAACATTTATCCCTTTCACTGCATGATCTGCCAGGCTGCCTGATACAATATAAAACAAAAAAACGCGCACTCGCTCAGATATAAAGAATACTCATCCATAGGAAAAGTCACATACGGTCACTGAAAGGCCCAGGGTTACCTAAGCTCTATAGACAGTATGGTGACGAGTACGGACCTATAAAAATCGGAGTATTTGAACAGTGCATTGGAAAATTTGTTTCAAATAAAGTTATGAAACTCTGAAACTAGATTCTCAACAGGCTATGATTTATTTCTTTGCTTTTTTGAATAAAAACATGACATTTACATGAAAATCTGAACTACCATTAAATCTCATTGTTTTTCAAATAACAGAAAAAACTTGCTAGACGGAAATGTAGATAGAAAGCTTCGTTATGTTCAGCATCTGGAAAAGTAGTGGTAAATAGCTCACTTGCATTCCTTGACAACTCTTTTCAGTGGCTTCGAAAGCGAGACAAGTTTAGGTGGGTCGGATGACACTACTGCTTTGGTTATGGTAAATAGACATTCCCTGGGTCTACAGATGTGATTAGGTCCGGCGCAATACTCAGGATTTTCGTAACTGCAAATTCATAAAAAATATTTAATCGATAACTTAATAAAAATGGGTTTTCTAGTGTAAAAAGTAAACATTTTTACTCGCTTGGCTTATTTCGAAAAAAGCAATGTTTTAGTAATACTCAAACATATAGTTTGTCCATCTGCAAGCGATATTCCTATATGTATGTATCCTTATGGAATCAAAACGTATTACAAATTAATAATATATAAAATTATGTCTGGTTCACAAGTTTGAAAAAGCATTCCAAGCGTCATACATAAAATATATTTATATCGATCTTCCCACAACTTACTTTGGGTAAGTAGCATCACAGGCTGGAATATTCGGGGTAAAACGAAACGATATTGCTGATCCAAGCACTAAGCACGCAGCAAAAACTACCACACTAAAAGCCTTCATGCTGCTCTTTGAACAAAGAAAAATGTTTTGCAACGAATCCGCGAATTTTTTTGTATTGCTTTCGCTAAATTGCACCTGAGGATATGTTTCGTTAAGTAGATTAAATTTTTAGGTAAAAATAGATGAAAAAAATTCCTTTCTTATAGACCAATATATGCTTTTGCGATAGTGCTCAGTTAAAACGCCACAGTAAACATCCGTAACGACAACAGGGCATTATGAGTCATATAATATTTATAAATTGTTTGAAACGCTTCAGGTGTTTTTGATGAAACGATTCTTGCAAAACACATGCCTCACCTTGAACGAGTTCACTATCATCAACAATAATACAAAACTGAAATAGATGATTCTTTACCACTTTACGAAGCAGAATATGGATGCATTGATCAAAAAACATCTGATATATAACGTATGTTATATTTAGAAGCACTGTATCAAAATATAACTCTTTCTCTGATATAATAAATGCCGTTATATGTCAAGTGACATGAGAAATATTTCTCAAGAGTAACTTAGATTGTCCGCGGCAATTGCTATTGCATTTTGTAAAGGTACCATGAAACTAAAAATATAATATCGGGAAATATAGATTAAATAACAAGAATAGATCAAAAATTAATTATCTAGCGTGGTTCAGTTCAGATAAAATATAAACTCCGCGTTGCGCCCTGCAACGCGACCACATCAGATATCAGTAACCTACTTTATTTTTTTCATCATACAGAAAATACACGAACAAATATTATGGAGAAACGTGAATATGCTTATCAGAGTGAGGAAGGCGTGAAAATCCATTACCGGTTGACGCGCAGCGACACCCGTTTAACTGCTTAAGCCTAAATTAACTATTTCCTTTATTATTGTGTTCGTTATGTCATAACAAATTCTGTAATGATCTACTGCAGCGTCAAGTATGTCACTATGCCGTAGGTGAGTGAGTCTGTTATTTAATGAGTTTTATGGTATCACGAGGTCAATGTTTTTGCTGACTAATCTAAACAGCCATGCATTCCGGCAAACAGATATCGGTTTAGACCGATTCTCCAACAATACCAAAATAAATTGTCATAATAACGGAATTGTGCAGTGTTTTTAATAAAAATGATGGCGATATAATTTATCTTGATAGACGCGATCATTCCTCACTTAATGTTAATCTTCTAATTCGCGAGGACATTCTTGTACTGGTTATTGTTATTTGCTCAACTAAAAAAAAGTGCGACTACAAAACTTAATCACCCGACATCAGTGTCCATTTCCAGCTGCGTATTCGAATAGCGAATAATGAAAAAAATATACTCAGAAATTTAGAGGGTTTCATCACACTTTCAAAATTGCCCAGCTGAGTTTACTATTTTTGATTCCCGCTATTGTATCATCGAATTCAGTAGATATATAGCCACAGTTTTAGGACAATTTGCCGCAGGCAAAAAAAGGTATCTCGAAAATCTTACTGTTTTTATCACAAATTCTTGTTTTACAGCAAAATGCTCTTGCGGCGATTTTTATGCGGCGAATTTTTCTATTCGGCGAACTTTCCTGCAGCGAAATTTCCTTCGGCTAAATTTCCTGCGGAGAATTTACCTAGAACCGCGGCAAAATTTCTTAAACTTTGCTATATTGTGTTGGTATTGATGTACTCATTCTAGAATCTAGAGCAGAGGTGACAAACCTGCGGCCCCCGGGCCGCATGCGGCCCGCCAAGGACTTTCGTGCAGCCCACGAAGCATTCAGGTAATTCAGTGTATGTTTGGCGTAAAGCAACAAACCTCCAAGAACTGTACAGAGAGAACGGGATCGCAAGTGTTACCGTATTCATATTACTGGCAACAACACTATTTCTAACACATTTTTTTGGGTCATCGATACCTCTAACAATAGATCAAAATGACCATTGTCGTAGCATAGTTACGCTCTCTTATCGGAAAACGCATACGGTTTAATAGAGAAGGAGTAATCTCACTTTATTAAAATTGTGCACGATAGACGTGATATTTGAAAGTAATAAAAAGTTTATAACTTCTGCTCAATGATTAAAACAATGCCTACGATTTAAAAATCAGTTAATCGTGATTAGAGGGATTCGTTTACAACTTTTGTATCCGAAGGCCCGCGAAAAAATGCCTACGTTTTAAAAATCAGTTAATCGTGATTAGAAGGATTCGTTTACAATTTTTGTATCCGAAGGCCCGCGAAATACGGATCTTTTGTACAAATCCTCCATCGCTAATGCAAAATGTGAAGAAAAAAAACACGTTCTGAAATACCAAATTAGTAACTACCCAGTTGCGGTTCGGGTTAGGAATGATTTGAGATTTTGAATTTCCAACGCAATCTGGATTCCTAGCCCCCACCCACCCTAAAAATGTAATTAAAATATTTATAATTTACATTTAATTTTGAGCGGAGGCGTTGGTTGTTTATAAAGAATCTTTATACAAAGGATCCCGAAAAATACTTTCTGAGGCATTATCAACCAGAATTTTGCATATTAACGCGACACAAAATGTCATGAAGAAAGATTCGATAATGCGTAGGTTGATATTACCATTACGGAGCCTGACTGACATATTATGACACCTGAGAAAAAAAAACTCTCAATCACTGAATTTGAAGATCTTTATGCTTGCGCGATATCAAAATTTACTTCAATGTAGGGTGAGACCACCTAGTGGTTAGGCCACTGGACTTGACTCAGTTGGCAATGACAGGGTAAACTAGTCGGGTCGTACCTTCATAGTCTAATTAACCCCCTATGTCATAGTCTAGGGTGCTATAAATTGGTTAGGAAAGGCCGAAACGGAAAGATTCCGGAAAACAGTAGTAGACTTTCCCGATCAGTATCAGTAGCTGTGCTGCTATCATTAAACAGTGCTCTATATGCGTGATGTATGGTGGGTCGCGTTGGGGATTTCGTTACCACCATATGGTTGCGCGAAACGGCCTTGACAAATGTTTTTGCAGTGCTGTTTTATTGTGTATTCGTTGTAAGGTATTTCTGACAATGTTCGGAATATGATAATGAAATAATGCCAATGAGTGCTTTCATGAATGCAAAGAAGATTCGACAAGTTTAAGTCTAGTTTCCTATTTTCAACACAAATATTGTTACAGCCAATGTTGAACTTCCCAATCTTAATGTCGGGAACGTGATATTTCTAAACAAAGTATTCGAAACTAACGATACATGATGCATTTATTGTCATAGCATGTTTTTATGATGTCATTACGTGCGAGAAATAAAATAAACACAGTCAATAGTTTTTATTCGATTGAATTGAATATTACAGGATGTCTATGTTTGAGTAGGTGGTTGATACTTGGTTCACGTGGCCCACTCAATACGCCACCAAATAAGGAAACGGTAATTTTAAGAATATTTCATATAATATTTTCTTCTCTATTGTGATATTAGTGTTATTATATTGTGTTATTATAAGTGTGTAGAATGCAATTACTTTGCTACGTTTTGTTGCTACTTTGCTACGTATGTTATTTATGCACTTTATGATCGTTTACCTCTGCATAACCCTAAAAGTTACGGATTTTGACACTACTCCCGCAAGTTGGTCTCCAGTTTTGATATATTAGTAATGTTTGAAATAGTCGTTTCAATTCATTAGTCTTTCTTATCTCATACGAAGCACATCTAAAATAAGAAATATCGTTGAATAGATTATATCTATCATTATGAGCGAAATATACGAAACTCCGAATGCGGTAAATATGACTTACCAGAATGGTGATCAAGATTACGCTGAATACGATATCGAGGAACAGAATTACGTCAACTACGAGACAGAAAATGTAAACGTCAACTACGAGACAGCGCCACAAAATGTAAATGTGGTTCGAGGTAGATACAAAACTTTTATTAGAATATAACAATGTTACCATATTATTGATTCCACAAGACTAACTACTTCTCCGTCTTGCATAAAACGCAAGGATGTTGTAGCAATTGTGGAGATAACTATCCTAAGTGATTCAATTATCTTGCTGCACACTAACACAAATATATTTGTGTAACATAACTATGTGTTTCAGAAAGTCTGACTTTGGTCAGACGAAATGTGACAGAAATATATTTGTGTTAGCGTGCAGCAAGACTATTGAATCCCTTAGGACAGGGGTGCGCCACCTTTTTCGTAGGCGGGCCAGATATCGACGACTGGATAAAACCGCGGGCCGCACCTTCATTTAACATAGGCTATCATTTAGTTGCAGACACAGAATAGTGTCTTTTTGTTATTGATCTCATGGCATTATTGGAGGTCCGTGCAAGAATAATGAGTTGAAACGAAAAAATGTTTGAAAACTTTTATTCAAATTTAAACAAATTGAGTGAGAAATTTGCTGCCGGATTATACTCCCGACTACCTTTATCCAAATTTGCCTTAATGTAAGTGCTAAGCGCTAGGATTCATTTCTAAGTAATTTGTTGTCAAATCCTATCCTAGATTGGATTTATACAAAATCAACTGATAGGTTGGAACTAAAACTTATTTGGCTTTCGTATCTCTTGATATAATGGTAATAATAACTTTCGATAAAATAAAACAAGAGAGACAGGTAAAATATTATGAGTGAATCAGCGTGAATATAGGATGACTCCTCACTCCAGAAAAAACAAACAGAACAAAGGCTGATTCTTGAGAGAACATAACTTTTGTGCAAAGCGTCCAAGGTTACTTAACCTCTAGCGTAGAATCATACACAAAGAAAAGTTTAGGTATTAGAGCAGCGTTTCCCAACCTTTTTTAATCGCGGACTATTTTCTCACCTGCGAAAACCTTTGCGGACTCAACGTGTGAAGATGTAATAAAACCAAACACAACAGAATTTTAACGTATTTCAAAATCGAAAATTCGCCGCAAAGAGCCGACTTTTTTTAGTGTATAAATGGCCTTTTCTGTCGTACAATATTCAATCCATGACAACGACGAGAATTTAAAATGTCTTCGGTAAGTATGTTGATAGGTATCTGTCTGTTTGTCTGTTAGACACTTTCGTATGTTACGCGATATCTCACGAAAGCGAAGTTGAATCTTCTCCAAATTTTGCACGTGCATTCATCATATCTCGGACCAGAAGCCTATTGATTGGATGAATTATGTCGTATAATTAGGGAGTTATTAATTAATTAGTAACTGGACACATGGTGTCGCTATGGAGTAAGAGCGGATGAATCGAAACCGCAATTTCTGTTTTGGGGGATCCTCTAACTCTCGATCAATAAGGTCTCTGACCGATATTCTCGTTTGTGTTCTTGGTCACTCGCGGTTTCGTCGACTTATGACACGAAAAAAGCATTACTTCTTTGAAACGCCACGGCAATCTGCGAACATAATAATGTGAGAATGTATTGCCCGATTATATTTAATTTTGATACATATATTTTGCGATCTTGCGAATTTGTTTTCGCCGTTAGAAAAATCCTACTATCTGCTATAATTTCCAGAAAGTACAACTTGATTTAGTACTCATTAAAAATGTAAGCAAAGTATATTAGTGAATCAAAAAATATATATTCATCTACTTGCTTTAATTATTTTAATTGTGATCATTTTAATCTGCGGTTGTGTTGACGAAATAAGAGCAATACTACTCAGAAAATATCATGATAATACGTGGACACAAAAATGCGTGGTGAAGAGCCCGATTATATTTTGTTCTGATTTGTATTTTAGTGAACTCGACAAATCTGAGCTGTTAGTACAACACTTACGGCGCTCCAGTACTGTACGTATACCAATGTGGAGGCAGTAAAGCAAAAAATCCTAAGGGGAAATGCCTTGATACGTATACTACAGTAGCACCCGAAATTTTGCGATGGTCGCGGACCATCATAAAACAAAACTTATGGTATTCTCCGTTTTATTTTTAGTATTTTGTACTGTCGCTTTTCAATTCAGAAAATTTAGGTTGCCACCATTGACACCTACCAGAAATAAAAGTATTTCTCGTTGTTCGAGCTCGCGGGAAACACCACATGGGTATCTATCCACGCGTGTGCCGACTCGTATTTTCGTCGGAAATCCAAGTGAGTTGTGAAATCCAATCGTTTGATTAAACGACGCCCAAGTGACCTGTGTCGCTTCACCTGTTACCAAATTTTCAAATAGTAAATTGCTATTCTAATAGTTGAATATTCGAATACTGTATACGCCCAGCACTTCTCAGTATCCAGTAATTATTGACTCAATTAATGATATGTGAATTAACTTGCTTTTTATGTTTTATGTAAATTCTAACGTAAATCGTAACTTGGCTGACGGCTAAGTTTTGCAAAAACGTTTGCGGCCCGCGGTGAATTTCTGGCTCGTTGCGGACTCATTCAAACGCTCCGCGGACTCATTTGAGACCGCGGACTCGGGTTGGGAAACACTGTATTAGAGTGTTGAATAAACGATACTCCCGTGGTATGTGAACGAAGATGACGGACACTGGAACGTAGTATGTGTACCAGGTTAGGCCATAATTTCATGTACAAATACTACGGGAATCACTTGGATACTCCCTGAACTCGAAAAAAAATTGGAATAAAATTATGGCCTAACCCTAACCTGGTATACATACTACGTTCTGGTGTCCGCGGGAGTACCGAATAAACAGTCTATATTTTTGTAGAAATAATTAGGAAATTTATGGGTTTTGCGTTTGTTGGATCACCTCGTATTTTGCCAAATTAAACACACTAAAAGATTTATTACTGTTAACATAGGCTATGCGTAAGGGTCGGGTTTTCTATGTCCGAATTTAACTACGATTTGAAATCAGCAAAAAAATGACTAAAATATGATTTCACTCAAAGAGTACCGATCGCTCATGAAGCGAAACAACGAATAACACTATTTGATTGGTTTGGTTATTTATTATCCTGGAGCAGACGTTATCCCCAAACTTAAACTTATCTTAAATTCGAATCTAACTAAAGCACCTGGAAAAAAAATTAAATTTTCAGATAAACCTGTCTCTTCATCTCATGACAATAATCAAGGTAGTAAATATGCTACAAAGAAACTCGTGCTTGGCATAACTATTGGATTTACAATAACAACGCTGTTGCTATTGGTATTAAATGGATTCGCTCTTGGAAAAATTATTCAGGTGAGATGGATGACAAATAATTTTTCAGTCTGAAATATTTTTGAGTAACCTAGCGCCCGTTCAATTTGTAACAAAAGATCACAGGAGGAGATTCGGAGCAAACAGTGGTAATAGCGAATGCTAACCACCTCATTTGGGATAAAAATAACGTATGACATTTACCTCATTTTTTTATTATATAAATGTTTTTAAACGCAATTCTAACATATGACTCACTTCTTCCGAGTTAGTGATTGATGAAACATGTTTATTACTGAGTGTGAACGGTAAGCGAACTGTCTGAGTGATAGATTACGTGTTTTCACTAATGTGTTCACTTTTGTGTCTGAAGGACCCATTACAATAAAACAGTCAGTAAAACTATATATATTCCAAGTAATCGAGATTTGAAAATAATATTCGGTTCGATTCTGAAATTATCAGATATTCGAAAATTGACAGCCCTACCTAGAACCCGTTCCAAAATGTGAAGTCGATATAAGTGATCTCTCGTAGAATATCTGATAAAAGTCAACGCTGCTGTTATGCAAACAATAGGTTCGATTTTTTGTCATGAATGTGTTCGCTTCAAATTATGTGTACCAATAAGAAGGTAACTAATTTTGTTCGCCTACTTTACACCAAGTTGTGTAAAGGAACTGAAACTTATGGACAGGGGTATATTCACTATAACACAGGCAGTCCTCAAACTCGTAATAGAACTAAAACAAGGTAAATCGGAATAAAATTATGATCTAACCCTAACCTGGTACATATTCTACGGGAGTAACACTTATTTGAATATATATATATATTTTTTTCAGTTTGAAAATCTTCAGAACACTAGTGAGTCCTGTTTCTTATACTTCGTTATTCGTCTGTCGTAATTATCATATTCGCAAAATTTTGTTGCATGCTATATCAAATACCCTCAGTCTTTTGAAATAATAAATGGAATCCGTCAATCGCTATTCAGTCTGACAATAAAACCGAAGCATTTGATAAAAAAAACTCATGGAAAGATATTATTGACGTTTTTTAATAATTTTAATAGATTCTGACGGTAATAGAGTTGAACAGCAGACGGTAAATCCGACCATGGACATTACGGTACCAACAATCAATTACACAAACGAGACTTCATCAGGTAAAATAGTCAAGATCCTATCAGTTGTGAATTGCAGTTTAGGAAGTACAAAGTAACTCACAAAGCCATTTGCAAGAGAGCATCACTTACTTCGTTTTCTAATCCTGCGCTCAAATTTTTTGTAATTCGAAACAGCAGGGTATTTCTGAACACCCGTGTATAAAAAACGTATATCAAACATAAAAAAATATCCACTTGCTGCAGAAACTGAAACAAATTTTTCGTTCGATTTCATTTTTTTGCTGTAGATTCACCAAAACATCGTTCTAATCAAATCTATTGTATGCACTGCAACAGATAAGTGCAGCGACCTTTACAGCGGATTCAAGTGGGATAATACTTGTTACTGGGCAGAAATTAACATTCCTTCGGACACAAATTTGACCACGGCAAGACAAATCTGCTCTGAAAGAAGATCGAAATTGAGCGACATTTACAGCAAGGCACATTATGATATGGCAGTGTCTTATTTGAGATCAAAGATTCCGGGAAATCAAACGTACACACAGGCTTGGACGAACATGAGACGAGGCTCGGTAAGAAAAGATGATAGCTTACTGCCGGATCATGAGATTTAGATCATGCATTATTTTGTAATGCATGAAACAATGGATGTTTCCCCGAGCATCGATTTTCTTTTGGTATTTACGTAACAATGGCCAACTAGGAATACGTCCATAATGACGTCACAATTGGAATTTATGCGGCCGCTCAGACACTTGTTTCACAGATAAATAGGCGTGGTTTTAAAAATTGCCTCGTTTCCGTTGCGTGTTATTTGCCAGTTTACAGTTGTGTTTTCGGAAAGCATCTGTAAATCAATTAACTCATTGTCATCCTATTCTCCGGATATTTTTAGTTTAGCAATAATCATAAACTTGTGCCGCAAATGCTGCGATAGATTAGCTGTCAGTACCTGCAAGCGGCACGTGGTTAAATACTTTCAATAAAAATAATTATTTTGAACATGTAGACCAGTTCGCAAGCGTCAACTATCTGTTATATATAAAAAAATTTGCAGTAGTAAAGTAGGCTATACGAAGAATTTTTCTGGAATCAAGGGTCGGCGAAACATCCATATACCGATGACAAATTTTACGTTGTGCCGACTAAATTTACACTTTTTAAATTTTTAAGGATGGACAAGCCAAACTATCGGATGGAACACAAGTCTCATACCAAAATAACGGGACCGAAGCATCTCAATGGGCGATCGCAAATGTAACCCAGTCTTATGTATATATCCTGGTAGACCGCAATATAACGAAATCGGATCAAGGAATGGGAGCTGGTTGGTCTTCTACCAATCTTCAGGGAGCTTTGTGTCAAACATAGCAAACACCTTAAGTTGGTATATAACCCACCATGCATATGGTTTACGACTAATGGATAGGTAGGGCTTGGATTTGAGTGAAAACATCAGATATATCGAATTATTCCAATTAAACCAATCAGGAAATTGAATGTAACTTAGCCTATGTGACAAACTATTATTTTTATATTAGGAACGGCAGAGAATAATGTAAATTTGAGTCGTTTGACTCTATACGTCACGAAAATGACTATTTTCTCATGTTCTTTCAACATTTGGCAAATTGCTGAATGACATTAAACAGCAATTATTAAAATTACTATAATGCTATAATGTATGAATCAAAAATTCTGATTGGAAAGAGATTCTAAAAATTCCAATTACGATATTTTCACCATTACAATGCACAGTTTTTGAGCTATTTATTGCGTTTTTTTTTTCAATTATTAACGACCGCGAGAGAGAATGACGTGTCTAAACGTACAAATGCTGTATCCTACTGAAGATTGAAAAATAAGTTCAACCATCTAAAAACGGCTATTCCTAGACCTACTAATGAGTTATCAACCAATATATCAATAAGAACTTCACTGGAGTCGCCAAAAATCGCCACTCGGCGAACAATATACGGATATTTCCCGTGTAGGAGCAATGTTTCCCAAAACCATCAATATTTGTAGTGTGTGCTACAAGAAGTTCAAGTAGAAATGAAAACTAGAAACTGATTTCTGCCTTGAGTCAATTTATATTCAATACCTTACAAACAACTTGAGGTGAGAATGAGGTTTGTTCAATCGTGAAACGAAAAGCGAAATTTGTTTAGTCGCCATGAATTGCTGAACAATTGGACCAAAGTTCTGTTTTCCAACTATGTAACATTTTGGTTCACCTTATCTTTACTTCTTTTTGCATTAAATATTATATTGTATTAGTCTTTACTCTTCGATTATTTTTAAGTATAATTTATCAATCTCGACCACTAAAAATTGGTAAACAAATGTTTTTTTGTCGTACTTTTGTATGTATGTCGTGATCCATCTATTTGAAAACACAGTATCTTTTTTAGGTCTTATTTCCTTGTATCAACTCAATTAATGCTCTGTGAACGAATATATATATATTGGTAGCAGTGCGCACTTACAAACTACTGGTGCAGTGGGGCCTACCCGTGTATTTAGGGGAATTGTCAATGTCTGCATCGTGTATTCAGTCAGCAAGTGGCAATTTCCTCATTATTGTGGCGTATAACCAACTTTAACCTCGAGATCTATATTCGGAAAGATTTAGTCGCATTTATAGGGTTGCCAACTTTGCGTTAAACCATTCCGGGACACTTTAACGTCTAGAATTTGAAAATTGATGCAACAAGAGCTTGTGAAACACGAAGCACGTCAAACGCGTCGTGTTATTTTCACAAACTGTAAATAATTTTATCATAATCAAAGAAACTTGTGAAATGTTGACTCTTTGACGCATAAATGCAGAAAAAATTTTTTAACAGGGGAATCGTACAATTTGTGCTTAGTAGATTTATTTATTTAACAAAAAACACAAAAAATCAATCAGTCTTTCTGGTATTTAATTTTTTATTCGTTTCATTTTTATTTCGTAATTGTGATTTTGCCGTTTCAAGAAGATCTTGAAGTTTTCACAAAGCTTATGTTAAAATTTGTAATCCTAATAATTAATGACCTCTCGCTAGGACAAGAGCTGCCAGGAAGGCGTTCTAAAACAGACGGCCGTGCGAGCCTGAAAACTGACTGAATAATGAAATCCTGCTCATAAATAGCCGCACACTAACAGTGCAATATTGACTAAAACAAAAAAAGTCGAGTGTCATTGCGGAAATGACCCATCCCTGTTGTCAGGTTTCCTCCCGCTAGAATTAAAATAAAAAATTGGTATTTATTGTCCGCTTGCAAAATAGTGTTGGTTAACGAAGTCCAATTATCAACATGAGACTTGATTTAGAAAAAAACATTATTACTTTTTGGCCCACCCACGCTGAAACATTCATAAATTGCAATTACCGAAAAAGATAAGTAGATTCCTCTACAACAGGGGTCGGCAACCTTGTCGCTCCCGGGCCAAAAATTATGGGTTGCAAGTCATTGGCGGGCCGCACATAATTTTAAAAAGTTGAAAACCGAATGGATGATACTTTTTTAATAAAAATCAAGCAGTGGTACATCTCTCGAATAAAATATAGATTTATTCCCTCATTACAGTGCATCTCAAAAAATTCCATTTGAATATTTGCGGCGCCTTTGAACGCCTTGGACTTGGCATCAACTTTTCTGCGTTTTGCTGCCATTTGTCTAATTATAATTAAATTTTAGGCCAATTAAACGAGTAATTGTAAATTATATATACTCGTTAGGTCATAATATAATTTAGTCCACAAGTGTCTCACAATAAATTATGTTAGGTAAAGAATATAATCGTCAAGACAGCCGTTTTGTTACTATAATTCAGTGAAGCGTCGCGGGCGACCCCTGCTGTACAATAACATCGTGAGAAGTAAGAGGAACAGAAAAATAACAAAGACATTGAACTGTCCTGCTAGCAAACAAACACCAGACAGTTTTGTCGTTTGATTTATTTTTTCAATTTTCATATGAAGGCAGATTCGCAAATTAAATAATAATACAAGTTAAGCCTACATAATCACACAAAACCAATGACTGTGAATACTATACTACTATGTCTGAATATTACATTAGCTAATAATGAACAATTATTTCCCATATAGAATACATTCATCAAAAAACTCTAGCTTATTGATCACAGTACAAGTCACAAATTGATGCTAATTGTTAAAGCACAGACGAACAATAATAAGCAGGTTCATAGTGGGCTAATTTTATATCTCCAAGGAACTTTTCTGAATATTAGTTTCCATGAAAAAAATTGATCAGACTGCTGAATTCAAAAACCTAAAAATGAGAAATCATATCACATATTGAATTATAATTATCGGATATTTGGAAACCAAAATAATTTTTTTCCAATACATTTTCAGTAGCATATATGCAGTTATTATAATTATATTCTGACAATCAAAATTAACGAAATGCTGAACTGAGTTCGAACTACTTTGTATGGGCCTCTTAATAGAATCGCCTTGAAAAAAAAAAACGAATACAAAACTGAAAGAGAAGATTCTCTGCCATAGCAAGTTATTTGACTGTTACCCAGACTCTAACATCTATCCTAGAACAAAAATTTAAGCAGTGGTTAATGATGATAGTTAAAAAAAACATCATTCAGTATTGGTCCTGAATAATTCAGAGTGGCATGATAATAATTCGAAATCTAAATTAAATTACTGCATAGAAACAATGATTTGAATGGTGATAGGTGATAACAATATTATTATTATTTAACTTAATTCCAGACAGAAAAGAGATTTATTAAATAACCAGGGTCATGAAAAAACAATGTTCTCCACTATCAAATCAAATTGATACAAGAGATCCATCCAAGTCATAAAAGAAAACATAGTTTATGTTAAATAAATCCATAGTGCAACCTCAACACAACAGAAAATGTTTACACTCAAATATAGCATGTGAAAATATGGAATCGAATTTAGGTGTATTCTGCATAATAAGATTTGATCAAATTATCTTTGATAAAAGTTAATTGAATGTTTTGGTCATCATGCAACAGTAAATCTGGTAACAGATATTCCATATTTATATTATGAAATCATTATATAACGCCTATGACATGATAGTGACACAGGAGCACACAAGAGGCCATGCGATTAGTGACACAACTTCCTGTCTGCGTAGAGTGGGGAAAAACAATCTTGTTTCTTTATTATAATTGATTTCGAGCCAATAAATGCTGAGAGTGGAAAGGAAGGATGCATGCTACTGGAGGCCTCTTAAGAGACATCTGAAATACTCTTGGCAAACTGCTGAAATGAATTATTCTCTTTATTATTAAATAGTCTATAAATTCGATTTGAAGTTATGGACACATACATCAATTTAAAATGACTATTCAAATTACTGGCCCATAAAAGTATATAATAATTTGCAGACACATATCAGCCAACTTGATTGGAATTGTAAATCCATAATGAAATTTGCTTTTCAACAAACTGAATCATAATACAGCGTATAAGAATTTGTAGCACAATGAATTGATCGGTATTAATCATAACTTACAATTAGGGAAATTTAACATGGAATGGCAACAAATTGAAAAAAAGAATAATCGAGTAAGAATAAACATTTTCTCCTGCTAGGTATTAAACAATTAATGCTAATGCATGCCTGTGAGTGGTCAAAATTCATGATCACACTCTCGAAATTTAGATGTGTCAGAATTTACCTGTTTAGAACAAAGATTTATCAACATTAGATTTAACATACTGCCTGATTAAATATTCATCAAATTAGTAGTGAAGAATAAAGCTGGACTGTTTGATAGTGAACTATATTATCACACAGACTTATTTGGCATGAAATACTGCCTAATAGTAAGCTATAATCATAATTTATATAACTTTTGATCAGGTTAGTGTCAATCTTGATTTCATAGTATATTCAATGTACATATATGCGTGATTTCCCAATATTTTACAACCCCATTTTTAATCAATGTCTGTACAAGTACTGAGTACCACACTCCATTGTTCTGTATACCTAATATTGGGAAACATATTAGGTGCTCGTGGAAGACGTGTAGTGTTGTATCTTCAAAAAACAAATCAATTTCCGCATATAACTTATCTCTGATATATAAAGGACAAATTATCAAAATGTTCTTTTTGTTTATATACATCCTAGATAAATTAATTTTTGAACCACCCTAAAAAGTTTTAATATGGTGCAAACCCAAATGATTTCCAAAAAAGGAACATAAATATGATACATGTATAACAATCATATTTTAGTCAACAATAATCAGATATTTGATTTCGCCATCAATTATGGGAGTTTTGTCGTCACTGTAGCACTATTTGAAACAATGAAGACGCTTTCACTAATTCCAGTCTTTCTTGATGTCTAAAATCCATTGCCATTCTAAGATTACATTCTTGTCATCATCAATAAATTTACTTTTACAGGTGTATTTTCCTCGAGCTATCATTCCAGAAGGTGCATCCTCAGGTTTACCAGTGTAATGTTGAACATCCGCTTTTGGGCCGTAACTTCCAACCATATTTCTCTGCGTATCAACTTTAATGCCTTTTCTGTGTATGGTTGTTAGTAGTTGTAAACCTGAAACTATTTCAGATGTAATTTTGAATGACATTTTAAGTCTATACGTAGTGCCTTCTTTCATTGTGATTGGGGAATCTTTGAACTTTGATAGATCTCCAGTCAAATCTAGAGATATATCATCTCTGCCTTCCACAACTACGCTAAGCGATTGGAGTATAATATTCCGTGTATCATTGGGGTCTTTTTTAATATCGCCTATATTTCCTAGCAGAGATTCCTTGTAACGCCTGAGGCTTTCGTCGTCAGCGTCCTGATTTGCGATTTCCTGGAGAGACTTTTGCGCAGGAGCTTTATAACCAGGTGTTATTTCATCTTCGTCTTTCTGACACTCTGCCATTGTTTTGGGATTCAGAAAGCGGAATACGGAATAAAACGCGCCAAGAACTAAAACAAGGACGGATACCAGTCGGCCTCTGATGCTCCGGAAGTATACATAAAACACACCCAGCGAGATACCGCCCCTAGTGTAAAAGGATAGCCACCCGCGCGTAGCGTAACATATTCAACTTAACAAAAAATATATAAAATCACATAAATTATATTAATTAAAGTAGACTGCTTGTATAAAACAGGTAGACGATAATGTTTCCCCGAGCATCGATTTCCGTACTTACTGTCGTAACAATGATCAATCAGCAAAGAACCTATGATGACGAAATGAAAGAAAATTTATGAAGCCGCTCAGACCTTGGCCTACTGCATTCTTTGAAATTTTCGCTTTGTTTCTTAGGCTGCATGGTATGTTAGTCGTTGCTCAGGCAGATATTCAAGCAAGGTTGTAAACAATTCCTCGTTTTCGTGGTTTTGTGTGTTATTTGTCAGTTTTCAATTGTGAAGGTCGGAGGTCAAGGGTCAGAAAAAATTGATATTGATACGCTGTAGCCTGTAATAATCGCTTGTTTGTATTTACAGACAAACCACATGTGTAGAAATATCGTCTCATCATTCATATTTTATTGGTCTTATTTTATCTTTTACTGATTTTTTATTTATTCATTCACAACCCCCATGTTACAATAAATACAACACATAAGATATACACACAGGGCATATTTCAGGGCGGTTGCTAAAAATAAATGACGTTTAGGACATGAGACATAAAAGTGCTAAATGGGCAATCTCAACTAGGGACATACAACATGAGAGAAACTAATCGTGCTTCAAACTTGTGCGTAGTGTGATAATATATGAACACAAGATAGCTACGCCCAAATATATGGAAACGTCTTTTCGCAGTACAGTACGGTTTATCGTACCGTCAGGTCACAGTCTACAATATATTCACACCAAACGAAGCAGTACAGTAGGACACAAAATGGCGACCGATGTCCGCGGAAAGTTTAATGACGCCATAGCAAACAAAAAAATCTCACAGAGCTAACAGAAATACTTAAAATGAATAAAAGTAATAGCCTTCTGGGGAAAAATTTCATCTTTAACCACTAAACATTTCAAAGCAATTGGTCCAGTGATCAAAGAGAAAAGCGGTTTTTAATACTTTCACTGGGTGTCCAAAAAGTGTCAGAGAACAACAAGAACAACACAAGAGAGCTACGCACAAATATATGGACACGTTAGACCAGAGCGAATCAGTCCTTACCGGTACCCTCAAAAAAGTTCTGAATTTCCAGTAGCAAGAATTTTGCAGAATCAAAACGTACAGCCAGCCATGACACTGACTAAAATCCGTGTTCCCATGGATAAAAAATAATACAGCAAAATTTTAGACGAAATATCAAATTTCATAGAATTCACGCAAAATTTTGAAATAAATAAAAGTAATAGCCTTCTAGCGAAAAAATTAATCTTTGACCACTGAAAATTTCAAAGCAATTGGTCCAGTATTCGAAGAGAAAAGCGACTTTTTAAAAACGTGTCAAAGAACAAGAACAACAACATAATATTGAAACGATCGTTATGTCCACTACGTGTCCAATAACGATCGTTATGTCCACTAAACGTGTCCAATAAAACCGATGATTTTGTATGTCTGCCCATGACCACTCGCCAGGTCAGTAATTTCAAATTGAGTCGACCAGTTAATTCTTCTAATGTATGTCGTTGGGCGACAAAGAAGAAAGTAGTATTACCGACTAGCGCTTACGCGAAACACCATCAGAGGTTCAGCAATTCGCTCGGTAGCAATTATTTATTCCCCGACTTTCCGGGAAATCAACATTTCGATGCGAAGAGCGCTGCTATCACTGATCTATTACTTACAAATGTCTGCAAAACTGGCAAATTTTCAAGATTGATAGTATTTTCCTAAATCACACACAGAAATTAGTCTACTAATGGTTGTATTAATTGATAAGACATCAATGGGCTCACTATCATATATATAGGGAATAAATGACGATGACGTAATTTCTATGATAATTTTTCAGTTAGGCGGCATACAAAAAAGTCACAATATCGTATCATAATTAATAAATGCATACATATATAATATGTATATTTGTTGCTCGCTGCGATCGGATTCTGTTGTGTTGTCTTAACACACAATTAACTTGTTTAAAATCCTACATCCATGAAAGTGTAATCGGTTATATAACATGGTTTTATAACTGCATATATATCAGCCGATAGTAGCACCTTGTGCGCACATGCCGTGGGTGTTTAGGATACAAATCGACGCGGAACCGCATTTTCAAACAAACTTTGCTTGTATAGGAGTTATATTTGAACAATGGGGAAACAAATGAAATATTTATTGGACACGAAATGGATCATCGATCGTTTTTTGCTGTTGATATTCTTCGACTGCCCACTAATTGCCTTGAATTTTTTCAGTGGTTGAAGATTGTTATTGTCGCTAAAAGGCTAAATTGCCGTAGGGATTCGTTTTTCACTTCGAGTTTTGCATGACTTCATCATCGAATATGTAAAAATCCCCTATAATATGGCGGTTCAGCGATTTGGTGGACAGCAAAGTCGGTAGATTTACAGAAGGAAGCTTACTGGTACTGTTAAAATGTTTGATACCTTTTCGTTTTGACTTTCATGCACATATATCTGAACATCGCACTCTTGTAATCCAGTCGTCATTGATGACCAGCAAGCGAATGATGGAGTGTTTAATAAGCATTATAAAATCGATCGCTGATATTTTGAATGAACATATTCTAAACGTGTGATGCAATACAGTAAGTTAATACAAGGCGAGGCAGCAATGAAGAAGTGCCTATGTTACCTTATTGGTGAACAGACTACAAAACTACTCTTCTATATTAGAACACCAGCTCATTCAAGTTTGCATTTTTGTACAAAGTGATGTGAAAGTAAAATCCATTTATAATTGATTTACTCTAACAGTATCTCCGAATGCCACACAAAACGCACGAGAGAGCTTATTTCTACCGTGCCCTTCTCCGACAATAACAGAAATTTACCTTTGCTTCATCCAAAAACCCGAGGAATATCAGAAAAATGCTCCTAACATATGAAAGACATGAAAATACATATAATTTATTCAGATACTGCCGCCGACAAAGAAACAACTGTTTTTGTTGGTACTACAAAAACACTTTTTCGGGATATCAACAATTGAATATAAGAAATCTACACTAATACAGCAAGATCCTTTTTTCGACAGGTTTTCGACATATAGGACACTCCGTCATTCTGTCGCCACATAATTGACAAGCACCATGCCCACACAGAAAAACAATATTTTTGATTCGATCTAGACATACTGGACAAAGAACCTAGTAAAAAATAATGCACGTATTAATTTCTATTTTTTATCAAAATTTCAAAAAATGAAGAATTTAAAATTGTTGTCAACAATATCTTCGAAATGTCATGACTGATTAAGAATTTAAGAGATAATACATATATAGATTACAGAGGATCGAATTGAAAATTTCGTCATAGAGTTGAATGTTATCTCTGGCATTCAAAGAAATTGTAGATGTTTGTTCCATGGCGTATGGTCACTCACTAAAAGCGCCGAAAAGCGTTATTGGTCCATTTTTATCAGAGATGAAAAAATAAGCATGCGTGATTGGTTCTAATTATACTTCTCGTTTTTAACCAAGCCCGTGTTAGAGCGAATTTCGACACACTTTCAAATTTTGTTTGTTTTACGCCCGAATTGCCTAATTACAAATTCTACAAAAAAAATAAATAAACAAATAAAAGTGCGAATATGTACAGAAGACGGAGGGTGCCGCCTGATAATCAGTATTGGTTTTCGGCGTCTCTCTTCGCCCTGAAATGCAATTTTTTCATATTTCTTCCAAATTGTGTATGTCCGATGCGTATTTTCAGCATAATTTATTTGCGGAAAGTACGGCAGTCGGACGGTAGCGCCAAGGAGCCAGTCTATCACGTGATGCGAATAATGTGGACAATAGAGGACAAGAATTTTTTTCTAAGTGAGTTACCTCAGAATGTTCTGAAATCATTTATCAGGATCAGCCAGAATAGAGTTCCTTTTATTGATCTCGGACTTACCTGTTCTTTTATATCTTGTAACTGGGTTTGTAGTTTCCTTATCTCCGCTTCGCTATTTCTACTGTCCTTTGACAGGTCGTTCGCCATGTTTTGACGTCGCTGTCCTCCGAACGGCGATACCAATGACCCATGTGGAGAACACGCGGACATATTGGTCGACAAAGGTAAATTTGTGGGCGATATTGATGAAGCTTTAGACACAACAAGTGGGGAATTGTTGTGTGAGGCTATCAATGTATTTTGTGTCATCGTTTGCGGAGACTGTGAATAAAAAGTAAAACAGACATATGACAATAAAAAATATGAAACGTTAAGTAAAGAAATGATTTATTATTAGGTATTATGATCATAAAAGTTTTAAATCGCCCTCTAACACTTTTCACAGATGAACGAATTTATCAACGACGGAGATTTATAGTCGTTTCCTCCAGCTATCGTTCGGTTGAATAACAATATACTAGAAATTCCTAACTCTCTTACACTGGCTTATAAGTTAATCAACTGACAACTTTCCCGCTAAAGGAATATTATGCTAATATTATATTTGAAAATAATATGTATACAAAATGCAATAGCCCACTTGTAATTTATTCGGTCTGGGTTTTGCACCGCAGCAAACTTCGAACGAAATTCGTCTTTCAATCGGTTCTCTACATTGTACGCATTTCTTCATTAAATTAGCACAGCCTGTCAAAATATTAAATATTTATTATTCTAGTATATGGAAACAGTTCACCAAGGTCTGCCATCTCAGCATCCTAACAAGTACCGGCATTCCTATCAAACGCCAAAATGTATCCGTAATTAAAAAACTTACTTGGACAGGCACACATATGTCCACACGGTCGAAATAGTACGGATGAAACTTTATCAGAACAGACAATGCACTCGTCCACCTGTGAAACATAGTAAAAATAATAGACTGACTACAAGCGATGATTTAATATTTCTACTGTTCATACGCTACAAGGACAAATTCGTCATTTGTTTACGGAGGATGGTGGATTTTTGGATAAAATAAAGCCTAGGTCAGGGACGGCAAATCTTTTCCAATAATTGGGTACAAAATTATTTTTATCGAAATAAGGTTAGCGGGCAATATATATTCATCAATTTCTGTATAGATGAGTAACTTGCTTTTGCATTCATGGATAGTATGAAAGGAAATGTCACTTTTACAGTCTAAAGTTCAGATTTTTATATTCATTAATTTGAGTTTATAAAATTTAGTTTTCAAAACGGCATTGTATGCGGAAAAGAGCATACTGCAAAGTAGCATCTTGTTCCTGTATACCCCTAAGCATAGCATTGCCAATAGACCGGTACAGTTTTATAAGTACACTTATGGTAAAATTGTATTTAAAGTCGGATATATCACTAATTTTTATAACCGGAAGTATGTTTTTTTCATGACTTGGCGGGTCAGCGAAAAAACATGGTGGTTCACCTTGTGTTGTGACCCGCGCGTCAGTGGTTCGCCATCCCTGACTTAGGCAAACCATATGCATACCTTGACTCTAGCTTTCACAGTTTCTTTACAAATTAAGCATTTCTTCAGTCTCGCGGAGCAGCTATGACAAGCTACAACGTGACCACAAGGCTCCAGCAGTGTGTCCCGCAGTGCATCGGAGCAAATCTGTAAACAAGGTTTAAAATCTGTTCAAATGATGAAATCCAAACAAGAATCAAAAAGTGACTTGCAACTAGAAATACTACGCACCATACACTCTTCAAGTTCGCTTTTTCTTGCATTGTTACTTCGCTCTTGCTTTGGCTGTGATGTCGTATTAGACTGTGCCGTAAGAGAATTTATTCCGGATGTACCCGGGACATCACACTCTCTAACGTAATTGTTGTTTTGCGCGTTGTTCATCGGTGAATCGTTCCCACTGTGTTGATAATAAAGAGATTAACTAAAAATAACACCGGAACAGGTAACAGAGTATTTGAATAAAATTAATCACCTGTGTATATTTTGAACAACGTTTGCATGCTGATTTTCGCCAGAGGATCTGTTTAAAACGGCTGTTCTGTTATTTGCGTCGTTGCCACAAGAATGCAACGAATTTTCATCATTAACGGATAAATTTGCATTCTCTACTGACGATGTCAAAGTCACTGTCGTCGGAACCGCTGAAATAACCACGTTACTCTTGTTCCGAAATAAAGGTGGATTTTTGGCGGGAGACGATGTAGCTCCTCCAGTGGCAGTTTGCACGTTTTCTCTGGGCGAGGGGCTTGTACTCGGAGATTCGGCAGCTATCGTATTGGAAACTTTGGGATGCCTACAATAGAATAAGAACAAATATTATATTAAAGTATCATCTGAAATTTTATAACAAGGTGTATATATAATAACTTACAAGTCATTGCTAGCCTTAATCAATGCTTTGCACAAATTCGGGTCGGGGCACAAATCCAGCGGCGTGTGTCCGTCTTTGTTGTACATATTTAGATCTGCATTGTTTGCGGCAAGAAACTGTGCAATCGAAGCGCTGCAATGTCTGTCCGAACCCTGGACGCCAATCCCCATAAGAACCTGTTTTACAAAAAATAATCTCATCATAGGGCCTAGCTTGGTGCAACATAAAAACGTATGAAAACAATAACAGACTTCGATCAAACCTTATCGTGGGTAGGAAAGCGTTTATCGTACCTGATCACATTTTTGTGACAAGTGATCCAATAAATAAATTGTGAAATTGTAGTACTCCATTAGTGTTCCCATATTTTAAAAATTGAGAAAGATCTGAAATAAGCTATGCTAAAAAAATGGGTGTGCACCACAAGAAAATAATGCCGATTTTCGGCGACAAGATAGAAATAAATAGAATAATGTCAATTTTTACTAATTGTAAAAAAATCGACGAATACAACGATTTTGCAAGCTATTTATTGCTTGCTTGCATGTATTATAAAAATAACACATAGAATCGCACACCGAAGCATGTATGATATGCTTGATAAGTTCAACTAGTTTACTGACTAGATAGGGCATAGATAAGTCAATGGATTTCCATGCAACTGTTTATTTTGTAATAGCGATTATCGAGTAAAACTTGCTGGAGGGCATATTAAAAATAGGTCAAAGTTAGTTGCGATTTACAAGAATGAATACGCATTCTTAACACAGTGGGACATGAATACTACTTCAATCTGATGAGCAGTACTTCGTAATGATAATGATAAAACCAAACACCTTGAACGAGACAGTTATCGACACTCAAACGAATAAGACACATACAGGGGAATATCAACAATCTCCAGCAATAAGATAGTAGTCGTAATAGATAGTAATTAATGTACCTCATTTGCTATCTAGAGAAACTACAAAATATACTAAGGCTGCTCATTTATTATATTTAACCTATTTCCATGCCTAGAAATACGCGCACTTAGCTTCTTACCCGTTGTGCATGTATTATTATTATTACTAAACCTGGTATGAAGCACTGGCTATTTCAAGGCAGCTCAAATGCTCTAACTTGCAGAGTATATTACAGCCTTATGCATGAACAACAGTATGCAGTACGGAACTAACAGCCTAAGAAATATCTCCCAACAAGTCAATAGTGACGACAATAAAACCGTGAGAAATAAATTAGAACAAGCATGACACCATATTGTAGAAGCCTTATTATCAACGTGCCGCTCTTGGGTGGTAGTTATAAAAAATCGATCCCACAATCGATATGCTGCAACGAAAAACGGTTCGTCTCATCCGTAGGGAAAATACTCTAATATTTCGATTTCTCTTCATTAATATTGCAAGAGGTACAAGGTTATAAAAATTCGTAAATTAGTCACAATTTCATAGTACTTGTTTCGTTGTATAGCAGATAATTACCGATTCATTGATTCTACTAGCGTCTATCCTTGGTACATATCTATCACGGGATATTTTATAGCACTCTATACCAAAATTGATCCGACGAAAAAAGTCAATAGTTTACATAAAGGTAGAGATCTACGGTAATCATCCATACTATCGAGATCCTCCATAATATTATACATATAATAAGAACTTGGTTTGAATGAAGGTCGAAATTAATAATATTCATTGAAATTCAGGTTGTCAAATGACTTTTTTTCTTCTAACAAAATCATTATCTATTTCTGATTCTAAGATGCTTAAATTTGACTAATAAAAAGGCTCCACACTGAAACAAAAGTCGTAAGCAATCAAAGTAATTGTTATATAACAATCTGGATTCTAAAATAACCAGCAATTTTTGAATATTAATATCCATGCTCATACCTTTCCTATGGTGGCATCCTGTTTGTCTTGCAGTGTTCTAAGTTGCCACAGTGTATGGTGACGTACAGCTTCATGTAAAGGCGTGTCGCCATCTTTGTCGGGAATGGTCACGCACGCCCCTTCCCGCACTAACAGCTATAGTAAAATAAAACGTTGTAAGAACATGAAAATTCAACTAAGATACCTGCTAATAGTTTTTATGTCTGCCTATAGTTATACTGTAAAACAATGGATAAGTGGTCTATTATATGGACGGTCGCGCGTCTGTACCGGTACAGTAAGACCTGGGCGAAACGAGTGACCTTGATAAATATAAAACAGCAAAAATTTTGGCTGAATACTAGGACTCGAATAAATTTTGAAAATGCGACCTCATCCATATTTAAATACTGAAAAATTCGATTCAATTACCCAATGAGTTGGGAAAAAATACGTTTTCGAAGCAAAACTACGTATGTACACTGCGTGTCCAGAAATCACCTTTGGAAATGAGGACTCAACATCAATTCTTGCTTGTCATAATGACTAATATCTTTCTACATAGAAGCACGTCTGTGGCGGTCAATAAAGTTATAATGTGGATACTTGAACAGAATCTATAATTGAATAAATCTTACCCGAACAATTTGTGAATGTTGTCTTTCCACAGCCAAATGCAATGGTGTTTGTAAATTCACATTCTGAATATCTAAGTTACTGTGGCCCTTGAACAAAAATAATCACGATAAATATGACAAAATGAAGTCATTATATACGTCCTAGTATGTTTTTGTTACCAGTTGAACCAGCAGTTCCGCAACTTCTAAATGATTGTTAAGTGCGGCCAAATGCAAGGCGGTGTAACCGTCATCTTTTTTCTCGTCAACGATCCAAGGGCGCGTTAGTTTTGAAAGTATCGTTCTCATTGCGCTACAAAGAAAAAGAAAATTTGTAAAATCATATATCTGCAACAAAAGTGAGCAAAGCTCAAATATAAGGCAACGACGGTCGACACTGTAAGACAGGACAGTACGAGTTTGCTGAAAATATCAGAACGAGCAATGCGTAATAAAAAGTGTTCCCTCCCGATAAAAATAAAATTTTAGAAATATCTGGATCTATTGGACTCAAAAAAAAATTGGAAAAAAAAGTGATTGAATTCTAGTTTCCTTCATCCTAAACAACAACAATAAAATTTGAGCAAAACGATCCGTATGTCCACTTCGCGTTCATTGAGAATTTTAATAGTTTTGTGCTAGTACATGTTTTATTTGGAATAAGGTTCAATTAGCCTTTAAATTTGAAGTTTTTTTTATTCTATATAAACAACAAAATACAATGGGGTTAAGAGGACCTTAAACAATTCAAATATGCGATCGTTTTGAGCGCTTAAAACGATATTCTTATAGATTCATATTTTACGCAAAATCCGTACATAATTGTATCCGAATTCCCGCTCCGCCCTGGTAGTACCTTCTTCTGACGTGGCACACCTCTTTTCTGCGACAAACTATACTTTTTGTTATCGATTTAGCTACATTTTATTATAGATTTCGGTAAATTTGTTATTAAATTACGACGATAAATGGCTTACGAGAGACCTAAGAACGGACTAAATAAGAAGATTGTTTCGGTACTCATCCAGCGCGTGTAAACAAGAATTATATTTCCAAGAAAAATTCACATGGTAGAGTTGATTCCTATCTTTTTAAAGAAATAGTTTGGACTCACTGACTATTGAAATAACAGAAGGTACTGAACTACCCACAATTACACGCCAATAAGAAAGTTTGCTGATCAAGTCATTTTAGGACACAAAAACTTTGGATTGGATTTTGCATCATTAGCCTAATAATGAAGCTGATTATTACTATTTTTGTACAGATGTTCGGATGAGCGCACTAACGCCATCTCGTGGCATCAACGTTGGCTGTGTCACATCTCCACTTGAAAACGTCTGAGTGAGATTAGCCTTGGGCAAACTAACCGCTTTGGCAAAAACTATTTGAAGGAGCTGGAATTGATTTTATTTACTATCTGGAAATTGTGTAACACAAAATGTCAACCACGTAATAATGGTTTTGTAAACAGCATGTGCTGTAATAATTGGCATTTACGGTCTATCATCGTGTCGTTGTGTATAAAGTATCGAAAATCGCACATAACAGGCATTCTGCCTCCATCCATGGTCCGAAAAATGAAAATGTTGATACTAATCGTATTTATGAAATCATCATATAAACAGAAACAGCTTCGTCATTTTAAGTTGGTATACTAAGGACAGCATTAACATTTTGAATGCAATAATGTCCACAAACATTTTAACGACTGATGTTCTGATGGTAGCAAGTAAAGCGTATGATTTTGATTGACTGAATTCAAAATATTTAAAAATGTTGTTGATAGAACATTTGAAGGTATGAATTTTTCAAACTGTTTGAAAATTGAGGAGAAGATTGAAATAAGATTTACGATATCTACGCGACATAGAATAAAAAAAAAACAATAAAATGCCAGAATACATCACTGACAATCCGTGTACCTTCTTGAGAAATTGCATTTGTAGTTTCGTAACCAAAACGCAATTCGAACCAGGAACAGTATTCTACAATTGGCAGCAAGAGATAAAATCACATCATGGCTAAAGAACACTATATTGTTTTTTCTTTAACCCGAAGGGTTGAGTCATAAACTTCTATGTTCAAGATGTATTGTATTTGTATCCATCTCAAACTGTATATTTACTACCGACATGAAACTTAAAACAGGATTCTTAAATGTCAAACAAGACACTACAAATAATCATAAATGGTTATATAAACTCACGCTTTCGCTTTCGAATAAATAAACGTGCAAACGACGATGAAGTGCCAAGAAAAATATGCACGTTCACCGTGAACCTAAACCAGAACACACATCCTGATTCACAAATACATAGGTGGGAATGAATCATCAACTGCTCAAAAAACACTCCTTCTACTTTCAGATACCAGATAAAATCGATAAAATTAAACGCTTAGGAATTTGATTATACTACAACCATTACCGTCAAGTTGGACATTTTCTGTGGTAACGCAAACGAAACAAAACTGGTCTGCTATCCTTTCGATGATTCAACATGCAATATCTATTCCTTATATCGATATCTCCGATTAGCACAACTTGGTGTGGTATTTAAAATACAAGCCATGAATCATGTGCCACAATAACATTGTTATGGTTCTGGTTAAACAAGAACCTGGGTAACAGCTCACTTGGAGCAGTGATCAAGTGGCCACAAAAACTGCGCAGAATAATATTCCTACTTTCTATATGAATTGACGACATCAAAATTTATATGAAGGGTATTTAATAAGAAGCACAAATGATAACTCGCAGAAAACTGGATACGACAGCTATAATTTTTCGACTGCAATTTTACTTCGTTGGACAAGCTTAGAGCTCGGAAGTACACAAGTATATCCGTATATTAAACACAGAAAGACAACCTTTACTCGGAGAATCATTATCTTCTCTGAAGTGTGTATAAGATATTTAAAACAGTTGCGGGAGCACTGGCGCAAATGTAACGCCATCACTTCATGAAGGACATCTGATATTCGCACAGTACAATGGAAGTTTCACATATTTATGCGTTGTTGTAAGTATTCTCCTTGTTGCTGCATTTTCGTTTCAAAAAATTTTCTTTTCTCTTCAACAATTGGACCAATGCACTATGTGGCGGTTCCACGATCGCATTTCAACGATCTAGTGGTCAGCGATGTCGGGAGTTTTTTGATAAGGGTGGTCCAAACCTTGTTATGTTGATACATTACGTGCGGCTCACAGAACAATTTTAGCGTATATAGCAGAACGTTGTTGAGTTTTTTATCTATTCCAACTGGGGTTGGGATCCTAAGATTCAAACCTTTTTTTCTAACGCTTTGTGCCTTTATTATAGTAAAAACACTCCTCTGTTTTCAAGCGTAGGCCATGTGACAGTAGTGACGAAACGCAAAGCGGACTTACGCCGCGCAATCCAGTTTTTTTTAGCTAGTTCCCGAAATACCAAGTTAGAAGGAGTTGGTTGTTATTTGGCGATGGCACTAAGCTTGCTCAGGCTGCAAGTTTTTAAATTACTCAAATATAACAATTCGTAATAAAATGAGTGTCACAAAAAAGGTCACATAAGAAAATACATGGCGGAAACGTATTTCCTTGCGCATCACACAATGTCTGGTTTGATTTCAAGTGAAATCTGTCACGAAAGAATATAATTTAAAGCGACATTAAACGCGATATGCAAAAAATACAACAGTAATTCTTGGGAATTAATTTTAAAATAACTGAAGGCTTTATATATCTTCTTCGAAAGAACGCCACCCATGTAACGTAATGATAGTCTGATATCTGATTAGAACGGTAAACTCTCCCTGTTTAATAAATTTAAAAGTAAACTCGCGATATTTCGATCATTTTTGGGTTTTCTCCGACTTGCGGCCCGCGAGACCCCCTCAAAAGTTTTTGCGGTTCTTCAACCTAGCAACCTTGAAGTGAGGTAGACTACTAGGTACTGGTAAAATTTTAAACTACAATTGTGACTTGTATTCTTTGGTATTTCGATTCACGTTGAGACTGGAGGCATGAATCTTTGTCACACTTCCTCAGGATTATTAGAGCTCAACCTATATCTCGGCCCGATATTGCGTGTTTGCCGATATATCATATCGGCAGTAAATGGCCGATATTTATATATCGGCTATATATAATAGTTAAAAAACCTAAAAATGTTCGTAAAAGTTCTTTACTCTACTGTTGGTTGTGATTATTTTTAATGGATAATACACTTATGTGGTTTATTGTTTTTATAATTAAATTACACATAAGGGGGCACCAAAGTCTTCAGTGTTTAGGGCCCCAAAGGGGCATAATCCGCCCCTGCTGGTTATACATGACCAGACATCTTATACAGCAGATCACATCGAATCATTCCCAGTTCTCTAAAAACGTAGCTATATGAAATCTGAGTCGAATTACGAATTCCCGGGTATCTAGACTTTTAATACCAATAATGGAAAACGAGGTCTAATTTTTTTATACAGAAAGTGACTGAGCGTTTTTAACAGTATTTTAAAAAAGGCTTGCGTGCGACAGTTTATGGTATATGGATTTTCAAGAGCTGGACTTGGAAGCCAGAGTAGGAGTCAAATTTTATTCATAGGTAGGAGTCGCGAGCAGATTGCTGATCTCACACACTCTACTTTGGTATTACAATGTATTATAAAGTTCGTACGAGTAGTCGCAGGGTACCTTTATAGAGCTAGATTTCCTTGTGTTAACATGGGGTATTACATTGAGGACGCAAAGACGAGTAAAGAAAAGTTTAATTGAATGTAAGACACCTTTTAGAGATATTTGGGTTCAAAAACGCAGACAAAATCTGATAAAATTTCACCCGCGTTCCATGTTCATGAAGATGTCTATTTTATGTATAAATAGGAAATTTTAGGTTTTGTAAATAAATATAATAATATAATCGGGCATTCATATCATACAGAAGAGAAAATACTAGAAATTTTCAAGTATTCATTAGTTCGCACGCTAGCTCGGTACTGGTGACGTCAAGGCGTTTCAAAGATTGTCTATCTGTGTATACGGCTGTCAAACACATACACAAACTTTTGTGTACATAGAAAATAAAAACAAACTAAAGAATTTACCAAGAATCGATCGGACCGTCATGGATTTGCGCCAAGGGTAAACTAGATATAAACCCTTGGTTAGTGTTTATAACTCGAATTTTCTTTCCCAACCCGGCCTACTTTCACTAGGAACTTCAAGGCGATTAGATATTAATCTCGCTATCAGGGCAAATCAACAAATGATCGCTTGTAAATTTTACGGTAAATATATTGATATGATCTGACTTACGCACGCTATTCTTACCCTTG